ATTAGAATAATAACATAATTCAAAGATAGGATTGACAACACAGTTGTCAGCAAATTGACAAATAAATCAGATACAGAGTACAAAGGAAATACAAGAAGCCAAGGCAGCTCTTGAGATTTTGAATTTGTCGGAAGAAAGACATGTTGCCATTAAATACAGAATAGGAAACCTGAAGGAAGAGCAGATTTGAGAAGGAAGATTAGTTTAATTCTGAGCATGTTGTGTGGTGCTGGCATGCTGGTGGGGAAGTATGTATGGTAGATAGTTGGAAAAATTTACCAAGGCCCAAGATTTGGGAATTATTTGCAAAGTAGCTTTTGATACTGCAGAGGAAGAAAAGAAAGTGCATGGAGAAATAATGGATAACAGCACAGAGCAAATTCTTGGGAAATACCTCTTAGAAAGATGGGGGGGAAAGGGAGCTGGGGATATAGCTCAGTTGGTAGAGTGCTTGCCTTGCATGCACAAGGCCCTGGGTTAAAACAAAAAAGAAAGAAAGAAAGGGAGAAAAGCTAAAAAAGAACAAAAGCAAGAGAGGACAATATTTTCAAAACCAAGAAAAGTTATCTCCATGAAGAAGTAAGATTCAAACTATTTTCTTCAGAGCTCTGCTGTAACCTAAAAGTGTAATGTACAGTTGTCCCTTGGTATCTAGGGGGCTTGTCCCTTATATAAAGTGGTTTAGTATTTGCATATAACCTGTGTACATCTTCCTGTGTACTGTATAAAGATCATCTCTGGATTATTCAGAATATCTGAAACAATATAAATGTAACATAAATAGTTGTTATACTCTATTGTTTAGGGAATAATGACCAGAAAAGCCTGTACATATTCAGTAGATATGATTTCCATCCAACTGACCTTTCTTTCCTTCTTTTCTTCCTTTCCCCCAAAACCGTAAAATAATTTTATTATACTAAAAATGTGCTTTTTTTTATGTTGATTACTTTCCCCATTTCCCTACCACTGGAAAGTATCTTCATGGGTAAAATGCAGTCCATTTATTTAGACATACTCTTCTTAGGCAATTTTAACTTCTTCCTCTGTTGTAACACTACTCAATATTTATCACTTTTAGTCTTCTCTTCAGATACTTTTTTCTTCAGGATAATTTGCATCCTTGCCTCCATCTGTTTCTGCTTCGTTGTCCTCTCCAGTGGGAAAAGCCAATGTACCTTCTATTTTCACTATTCTGCTTTTCTTCATTATTTTCTCCATTCAATCTGAACTCAACTTTTATAGAATGCATCTTCTGCACTGTTTCTGCCAGTATCCAGGTCTGTCTTCAAGGTAACATTGTACTGAAAAGACTACAACTCTTTCCAGGTCTTTGTAGTCTATTGTCACACTAGGGTCGTTCATAAACTCCTCTTCCTGCTCACTCCTTGTCATGGTCCCCTTTTTAAGTTGTTGATGGATCTTTATTTTATTCATTTATTTATATGTGGTGCTGAGAATCGAACCCAGTGCCTCACACATGCTAGGCATAGCTCTACCACTGAGCCACAACCCAAGCTCCGAGTTTATACTACTTTTTGGTCTTATGGAAAATGGAAAAATACATCCTGGAGACATTAAAAGCCCTGGAATCTCAGAAAATATTATGGAAACATGTTTTATAATTTGATGCATTTAACTTTGTACTAGAAAAAGATAAGTATTGATTCCAGGAAGCAATATGAAGAAATGTGTCTCTTGAAGTATAACTCATGGTGTAGTCTAAGTGTCTAGCTTTCTTAAACACTGGCGAGCAGTCTGACACTAAACACAACCGGAGTGCATATGACCTATGAATCAGGGTCGTTTGTCCCTCTCCAAGGCCCTGCTGACTGAATAGGTGAGTTTTCTTTGTAATGTTTTGGTCCTCAGTTGGTTGAATCCTTGTGTGTGGAGCCCACAGATACGGAGGGCCAACTGTGTATTCTACATCTCATACATTATTTTGTTATACGTTTAGCATTATTCTTTACTCATCATAGTTCTCAGTTTTACACATCTTAAGGAATCATGAGCTTCTGTGCATTTTTTTTTCCCCTCTTCCCACCCGTCTTCCCCATACTGGGGATTATACCTAGAGGTGCTCTACTGAGCTACATACCTAGCTTTTTTTTTTTTTTTTTGGAGACAGAATCTCACTTAAGTTGCTGAGGCTGGCCTAGAACTTGGGATCTTCTTCCCTCAGTTTTCCAATCTCTAGGATTAAAGACATGTGAAACATACCGGCTTCCTTGCCTTTAAATTGCTGAGGCTGGCTTTGAACTTGCCAGCCTCCACCTCCCCAGCCACTGGGATTACGGATTACAAGCATGGCTCCTTACCTATCTTTAAGGATTAATATTTGGCAGAATGTTGTGTAGATAGTTGAAATCCAAGCCCCTGATTATGAAGTTTAGTGTCCTGTTGCAGAATTGAACATAAATTCACTGGGAGTAGTTTATGCTTGCAGGTTTTCTACCGAGTTATCTGCTTCATATACCATTTGTGATGTATTCTTTCTTTCTTTCTTTCTTTTTTTTTTTAGCCATGCTAGGTATAGAACCTGGGCTTCACACACGATAGGCAAGCTACACCTCCAGCTCTATGATGTAGTCTTGATCTTGTCTATTTTTGTTTTCTCTTTGGTAAATGATAGAAATTCTAACAGTACTCAAAAGAGCTTGAGCTGTAAGGAGGAAAAAGTTAAAGGGTTCTGGGGATTGGATATATGCGTGTATTTTGATCTTACACTTGAATTATTTTAGAAAATCTTCTAAAATATTACTTTTACCAGCTTGGTGGGTGCCTTTGGAAATAAAATAGAAACCTAGAAAGGGAATAGCCTACTGAGCACAGTGTCACAGACCTGTAATCAAGGAACTGAAACAGCTATACAGGATGTCAAAGACGGTATGAAAAAAGAATGAAAAATATCTCATTAATGTTTTAATATTGATTACATGTTTAAATTATTATTGTTTGGGTATATTTGGTTTATATAAAATATATTAATTAATTAACATTAATTTGACCTGTTTATACAAAATAAATTAATTAACATTAAAAAAAAAAAAAGGAACTGAAACAGGAGAATCACAAGTTCGAGGCCAGCCCCGGCAACTGAGGGAAACCCTGAATAACTTAGTGAGACCCTGTCTCAAAATAAAAAAGGGCTGGGATGTGGCTTATTGGGAAAGTTGTACTGATTTCAATCCCCAGTACCAAAAGGGGGGGGAGGGGTAGCTTGCTACAAGTGAGAAAAAGACAAAGAAGGTGATTTGTTGAAAAACTGACTAGAAAAATTTTAGCAACAGTTTGCAAAGGAATTAGGGTTAGTTAATTTTTTGCTGCATTTTATCCCGGAAAGACTCAAAGGTAGCACTGATGGTGACCCTCCAGTATAACATTAAAAAAAAAAAATCTGTTATTATTAAAGAGGATTTTTAGGCCATCAATAACTGATCATGACTTGAAATTTTATAGTAAGTCCACCTGTGTGATAAGAATAAGGTTTTGGATACATAAATACAAATTGCTGGAACCAGGGAAAATAAGCAAGAATAATGGATAGCTGGTTTGCTGTGTAAGAGTACCCAGAGCCTCTGTGTCTGATTCTGAATGATAGCAGCATTAAAGATAGCATGCACCACCATGCATATAATCTCAGCCACTCAAGAGACTGAGGCAGGAGGATCACGAGTTCAAACCCAGCCTCAGCAACTTAGTGAGGCTCTAAGCAACTCAGCAAGACCTTGTCTCTAATAAAAGATATAAAAGGGCTGGGGATATGACTCAGTGGTTAAGCACCCCTGGCTTCAATCCCTGATACCAAACTCCCTACCCACCTTCAAAAAAAAAAACCCCAGAATAAAAGATAAACTGATCACAGTATACATCTGAAAGTAAAAACATTATCTGTTAAATTGCAGCATCTTTGCAGCAATTGTAATTATATCCATTAAATAGGGGTTATTAGAACAAAGTTGACCAATTGTAATTGTTTACAACACTGGTAGCATATGCATTTATGTAGGAATTTTCGTGCGGTTTGGATATTAGCATTTCATTTTTCATAAAGGAAGAGGAGTGGTTTATCTCTTCAGAATCTGACTTAATGGAAACATTTGTCAGGTCTGGACATTTAATATTTCTTTAGATCAAGATTTTTAAATTTATCTTCAATTTGGGTGAGTTATGAATATGTTTTTTAGAAATTCAAAATATCTCATATAAAGCAGGAAATAATACATTTTGCTTTTTTAACATTTCCTTTCTTCTGTGGTTGAATGGTTAGAGCTGTGCACAAGTTCTTGTCTGTCAAATTAAAAAGCAAATTTACTCACGTTAGTTTATAATTTAGTTATTAGGTCTCATTAGTTTAAGATTCAAAACTGGGGGCTGGGGATGTGGCTCAAGCGGTAGCGCGCTCGCCTGGCATGCGTGCGGCCCGGGTTTGATCCTCAGCACCACATACAAACAAAGATGTTGTGTCCGCCGATAACTAAAAAAAATAAATATTAAGAAAAAAAAAAAAGATTCAAAACTATAGGATATGTGACTATGACTACCCCCCTTCTTTACTATATAACATCTTTGGGCAGTTAAGAGGAAGCCTAGTAAATGCAGCACTCTTCCATTATATTTGCATCTTTCACTGATGTTAAAGCAAAAACATTGAAGCCCTTTGTTCAATAAGGATATAACAGAATATTTAAGATTACCAGTAGCATATTCCATCCTTTCTTCTATAGTTTTGTATATCTTTGAATAATATTGATCAGAAAGTGTATTTGAAAAGTTTCTTTTAAATTTTATTTTATTTATTTATTTGTTTTTTGTAGTGCTGGAGATCAAATCCAGGACCTTACATGTGCTAGGGAAGTGTTTCATCACTAAGTTACACCCCCAGCCCTTTTTTATTTTAATGTTCATGTTAATTAGATCTCTTCTATAATGAATTCAGTGCATTTAAAATAAAAATAATTTATGAGTTTAATTATTTTACTTCTGATCATTTATAGGCGAAACCTAACCAAACTGTCCCTAATCTTCAGCCACATGCTGGCAGAACTAAAAGGCATCTTTCCAAGTGGACTTTTTCAAGGAGATACATTTCGGATTACTAAAGCAGATGCTGCAGAATTCTGGAGAAAAGCTTTTGGGGAAAAGTAAGTCTCAAAATAGTAAATATGAATTATGAAAAACTGAAACTTATAAAGTTTTTGTTTACTGTTTTACTAATGAAATATTTAATATGTGAAAGAACTTTGAAAAAAACAAATATGTATACTTACTTCCTACTTTTGATCACTATTATTTGCCCTAATCATTTTTTTTAAAGAAACAAAACTTTCACTTGAAACCTATGCTTTATGATTGATCAGTTCTGCTATTAGTGACATTTACATTTCAAATTATTTGCTCTTGTAAACAATGCTTCAATAAGCATTATCTAAGTTTCTTCAACCAAGATACCAGTTTATGTTTCTATAAGTAGTATGTCAGAGTTCTAGGGCTGGGAGTATAGCTCAGTGGTAGAGTGCTTGCCTAGTTTATGTGACGTCCTGGGTTTGATTCTTAGCACCGGTAAAAATAAAAATAGAAATTATTTTATACATAAAATATAGACTAGTTCATAATTTTAAAGGCCTAGTTGGGGGGTTAAAGGTGTAGCTAAGTGGTAGGGTACATGTATGTGTGAGATACGGTGTTCAATCCCCAGTATTCCGCCTGCTGCCCCATTAAAAAGCCTAGTTGAGGGCTGGGGATGTGGCTCAAGCGGTAGCGCGCTCACCTGGCATGCCTGCGGCCTGGGGTTCGATCCTTAGCACCACATACAAACAAAGATGTTGTGTCCGCTGAAAACTAAAAAATAAATATTGAGAAATTAAAAAAAAAAAAAGCCTAGTTGAAGAAGATGGGTAGAAATGTTGATTTATTCCTTTAACTCAGTAACTGCATTGAAAAAAGACTTTAAGATGTTTTTTGGTCTCTTTATTTTCAGACAGGTGAATATATAAACTTTGCAAAAGCAATAAGACTGTATTTATTTAAAGATCTTAAGAACAGAAATTCATAATATCTCTTGTTAGCCTTATCTGGGGTTTAATCACTCTTAGTTTAAATAATTTCTTCATCTCTGTCAGAATTCTGTTCTTTCAGTACCATAAGCCTATTTCCTCCTATATACCTTGATAATGTGGATTCCTTAGAGAATATAGAATGTTTTACATGTTTTTAAAAAGTTAGTTTAGCCAGACACATTGGCACAGACCTATAATGCCAGCAACTCCATGAGACTGAGGCAGGAGGATTGCAAGTTCAAGGCCAGCCCCGGCAGTTTAACAAGGCCCTTGGTAACTTAATGAGCTCCTGTCTCAAACTAAAAAAGAGAGCTGGGGATATCACTCAGTGGTAAAACATCCCTGAGTTCAATCTCCATTACCAAAAAAGGAAAAAAAAAAGAAGGTAGTTTAAATACAAGCTTCTAAATAGTAAAGGTCTGGCCAGTAATTACATTTATTATGTTAAAAGGATAATCTCTTTTCTCTTCTTTTGTTTCTCTAATAGAGTAGATGTACCAAGAACGATGAGAAAAAGGAATTAATTTGTGCCATTCTGTAAAAGAATAGTGGAAAAAAACTTGTTACTAATTTCCTCATTAGAGAGTTAAATATTCCTTTTTCCTGTTCTACTCTCAATCTAAAATATAACTCAAAGAATTGATACTGAGAGCTTAATGGGGCTTTTATTTTCCTTGATTATAGCAGTATCTGGAATTATCTCTGTTATCTCAAAATGCTTTCTCTTTCACCCCACCCCCACCACAGGACAATAGTCCCTTGGAAGAGCTTCCGACAGGCCCTACATGAAGTGCATCCCATCAGTTCTGGGCTGGAGGCCATGGCTCTGAAATCCACTATTGATCTCACCTGCAATGATTATATTTCAGTTTTTGAATTTGACATCTTTACACGACTCTTTCAGGTAGGATACTAAAACATACACTAATGTTGCTGTTTCTTCTTTTCTGAAGATAAACCTTTTTTAAAATAAAAAATAAAATTTGGGGCTTTGTCTATTAAAGTGTTTTAATGCATTTAGAAACTATAAGCAGGGGCTGGGGATGTGGCTCAAGCGGTAGCGCACTCGCCTGCCATGCGTGCGGCCCGGGTTCGATCCTCAGCACCACATACAAACAAAGATGTCGTGTCCGCCGAAAACTAAAAAATAAACATTAAAAAAATTCTCTCTCTTTAAAAAAAAAAAAAAGAAAAGAAAAGAAACTATAAGCAAATAAATTAAAACCACCGTGTAGCATACACACACACATTAATTACTATACAACCTACTTTATTCCCTCAGATCTTTCTTATTGAATATTCTTTTGTATCGCTTTAATGGTTATAGAAGTCCCAGAACATGGATGTATTTGTTTAGTACTCTGTTACTGGGCATTTGTGTTATATTTCCAACTTTTCTTCTATTGTTTCCAAATTCTTTACTTTTAATATCAATGTTTCAGAAAGAACTCATATCTTTCTCCTAAAATAATGTTTTCTCCGGTGCGTGTGTGTCAACTTGCATAAGTATTTATTTGGAACTTACTGATTGCACATGAAGGCCCTATTCTATTTTCCTGACTTTTGTTTCTTGGTTAACCTCACTACTGGTAGTTAGAATTGCTTTACAATTTCTTAAGTTTCATTTTGTATAGTTAAATTTCTCCCTATAAGCATATATTCTTCTTAGCATTTCAAGGTTTTAGTGTCCCAAACATTTGTCTTCTTCAAAATTGACAACATAATTGAGACTTTGTGACCTTGAATTAAAAATTTATAATTGAGAATTGAAGTTGTTGTTCTATATTCTGAGAATAGTTGTGTGTCTGAATAGTCTGTGATTAATCTCTTGTTTCTTTAGCCCTGGTCCTCCTTGCTCAGAAATTGGAACAGTCTTGCTGTAACTCATCCTGGTTACATGGCTTTCCTGACATATGATGAAGTGAAAGCTCGGCTCCAGAAATTCATTCACAAACCTGGCAGGTCAGTGTCATGAAGCAAAGAGGTTTATTCTCAAATTTTTCTCTTATGACTTCTAGAATAGAAGAAACTTGATCTTGTTTTAGTTCACCAGTGGCCAAGATTCTGCAATAGGATTCATTCTGCTGGAATTGGCTTGCTTACATCCTATGATTTGATCAGTGTTTTCAAGCCATTCAAGAATGGGGTGTAGGGCCAGGGGCACCACCATAAGCTCAGCTATATAGTGAGATCCTGTCTCAAACTAAAAAATGGAAAGGACTAAGGATATAGCCCAATGATAAAGTATCCTGTTTCCATCCCCAATACCAAAAGACAAAAAAAATGGGGGTTGAGATGGCCTTTTTTCTGGTCTGGAGTTATTGCTATTTGTTTTCTATAAATGTTATTTGGAGCTAAGTATTGAACTCAAATCCTCAAGTATGCACATAACCTTCCCACTGAAATATATCTCCAGCCCCCTGAACATATACACACTCCCCCCACCCCCTTTTTGGCAGTACTGGGTTTGGGGCAGAGATGGAGTGGGGGAGGTTTGACTCTTTACCACTGAGCTACATCCCCAGCCCTTTTTTCATATTTTGAGACAGGGTCTCACTAAGTTACCCAGGCTGACCTCAAATGTGTGATCCTCCTGACTCAGCCTCCCAAGTAGCTGGGATTATAGGCATGTGTCACGGCACCAGGCTTAGAGAGTTGTCTCTCCCTACCCTAGTACTGGTTTTTCAACATAGGGATGCTCTACCACTAAGCTACATTCCCAGCCCTTATTTTATTTTTTATTTTGAGACAGTGGTAGAGGCTGACCTCACACCTGTAGTCCTGCCTCAGCCTCCTAAATAGCTGGGATTATAGGCATGCACCAACTTTCCCTACTGAAAAGTTGTTCTTGATGGTCTTTTTGAATTTTGTCTCTAACTTGCATTCCACCCTAATACCAGAGTATATGTTAAAACTTCTATTAATCTCTCTCCTCAGTTACATCTTCCGGTTAAGCTGTACTCGTCTGGGTCAGTGGGCTATTGGGTATGTTACTGCTGATGGGAATATTCTCCAGACAATCCCTCACAATAAACCTCTCTTCCAAGCACTGATTGATGGCTTCAGGGAAGGCTTGTGAGTACTCACTGATTAATATCTCCTAGAGTCTAGGAACTTAGGGACTGTAATTTTATCATAAATGACATATTAAGATTCAGGAAACATTAGCAAGTTATGTTTATTTGTCCTTCAAATTCTGTAGACTTTTGTTTTTTATTTGATAGGGATTCCATAAGTGAAATCGTCTTTCTCTGTTGCTTCAGTTATTATTATTTGTCTTTCTCCTTTTCCAAATATTAGCTTACCTGCAAATCTGCACTAGATTTGAAAATACAAAATTAGCAGGAAATTTTATCAGTTACTTGACAGCCAAAATTAAAGTGACTAGATGTTCCCAATGAGAGTAGGCAGGCTTCAGTGGCCTATATCTGTCTTCATCTTAATTTCATTTTGACTCGGCAGCTTTTCTTCAGGCTTTGACTTTTGCTAGTAAGTTCTTGTTCCAGAATTGCTATTCCTTTGGAATCAAAGTACTTATCAGTAAGTTTTAAAAATACTAATTCTTTTTTTTTTAAATATATTTTAGTTGTAGATGGACACAGTACCTTTATTTTATTTATTTTATATGTGGTGCTGAGAATCGAACCCAGTGCCTCACACATGCTAGGCAAGCTCTCTACCACTGAGCCACAACCCCAGCCCTAAAAATACTAATTCTTGACCATGTATTGCCTTCTATAGTTGGATTGAGTAGCCCCAAATTTCAGAGCAGTTTGATTCTAGAAGCTCCCTGGTTGATGATCTTAAGTGTCTTAATTTGTTTCTTGTTACATTCCTTTTAAATACACGTCTCCATTTGTTCAACCTGTACATAGAAATACTTGAGGTCTTTTTTAAAAAAATTTATATCTTTAGGCTACCCATTGATTAAAGTAGGGATTGGAAAACTATGGCCTATATGGACCAACTATTTTGGTATAGTCTGCAAACCAAGATAGTTCTTTATTTTTAAAGTATGTTTGATATCATTTGTGTATATTAACCAGCACTGACAATTGACTTCAGTAAAACCACAAGGCTGGTTACTCTTTTTGCAGCTATTTGTTTCCTGATGGACGAAATCAGAATCCCGACCTGACGGGCTTATGTGAACCAACTCCCCAAGATCATATCAAAGTGACCCAGGTGAATTATGCTTTGTATTATAACCATATCACTGGAGCCAAGCTTTTGGATACCGTTTACAGAAAATATAAGTTATTGGAATGTTTTAATTTTAAAACATTAACTGGATTAATGAATTTATGTGTGAGTGGTTTCTTCTTTAAATTGTGCAGCTTTAAATGGGACCCAAGATTAGATGTTTCTGATATAAATAAGTCTTTACTTTTTTTGTTTATGTTTATAGTTACTGTCATTCAGTCAACAAATAATCTCTTTATTTTTTTAATCAAAGGAACAATATGAATTATACTGTGAGATGGGCTCTACATTCCAACTGTGTAAAATATGTGCTGAAAATGATAAAGATGTAAAGATTGAGCCCTGTGGACACCTCATGTGCACATCATGTCTTACATCGTGGCAGGTATAGATCCAAACCATGCATTTTCTCTGCTTTGTAATTACTCTGAAGAATTGGGTTTTATATATCCTTTATAGATACAAAGGGTGGGCTTACTTTGTGGGCTAGGCCTAAATTTTAAATCCATCCATCCATCCACTCTTCCTTCCTTTCTTCCTCCTTCTTCCTGTATTGAAGATTAAACTCAGGGCTTTGCAAATGTTAAGCATGTGTACTTTCACTGATCTATACACTGAACCATTTGATTTCATCTTTATGTCTAGGAAATAAATTTACTAGTAGAAAAATGTATTAAATACTTTTAGATGCATTCATTACTAACTTTTGCTTTCTCTGTAGGAATCAGAAGGTCAGGGCTGTCCATTCTGCCGATGTGAAATCAAAGGTACTGAGCCCATTGTGGTAGATCCGTTTGATCCTAGAGGAAGTGGCAGCCTATTGAGGCAAGGAGCAGAAGGAGCTCCCTCCCCAAATTATGATGATGATGATGATGAACGAGCTGATGATTCTCTGTTCATGATGAAGGAATTGGCAGGTGCCAAGGTAAGACTACAATTTCAAAGACTAGCAAGTATCATTATGAACTATTTTCTACAGCCAAGGAGCACTTTATGACATCCAAACTACAAAAGGGCACTAATAGCTGATATTTATTGAGCTCTTGCTATAAGATACAGTGTTAAGCATTTTACTTATTTTAACTCATAATCTTTACAACAACCCTCTGAGACTGTTGTTATCCTCATTTAACAATGAACCATTTGAGCCATAGAGAGAGAGAGAGAAATTTGCGAAGGATCACACAGCTAGTTAGGAGCTGCCAGACTAGCTTTAAGGCCCATATTCTTACTATATGTATCTGAGGGACTGGGTTTTAACACATATATCTTGGTGGAGAAATGGGGAAGGAAATAAAGAACTAAACCCTATTTTATATGCTACTGTGACTAGTACATGATTTTGTTTTTGTTTTTTCCTTCTATGACGGAATCTTGTCATTTGAAAGTCAGTTAAGTTGGATAAGAAATAAAATGAGACAGTAATCAGATGGTTGGTAGGAAGTGCTATACCTTGTGCCCTGTAGAAGCTAAACAAACTGGAAAGGCTCTAGTAAAGATTAAAAAAAAAAAAAAATGAAGGTAAAGAAAGGATGTGATCAAATGCTATTTCCTCAGACAGGTAGGGTACAACAGGGGTTTACTCATTAAATCTTAGAAGTAAGACAGTTCTTGAAGATTTTAGTAAGTAAAATTTTCTTTAGTAAATAAAAATTCTTTAGTAAATAAAACAATGGGTTAATGATATGCTGTAGAGTCTATACTTTAGAATGCTATGTACTCATGGGATACATTTCTGTGATACAAAAAGCTTTCTTTTATATCAGCACATGACTACCTGATGCAAAATAGGTGCTTGATAAACATCCTGGAAGAGTGAATTTTATCTCCCCTTATTTCAGTTTCTCACCATCTTCTATCCTTCCTGATACGAAATCATTGATCTACAACACAGATCTGATCACCTCATCCCTTGACTTCACACTGTTTGATGTCTTCTCATTTCTTAACAACACCTTTATTTATTTATTTTTATGTGGTGCTGAGGATCGAACCCAGAGCCTCCCACATGCTAGGTGAGCACTCTACTATTGAGCCACAAACCCAGCCCGACTTCTCATTTCTTAATGAGTGAAGTGTGTTCTCCTTTCTAGGTACCTGACCTTGATAATTTCTTTCCTCTTTATTCTTTGTGGTCCAGCAAGGCTAACCCATTAGAATTTCTCTCTGCTTTATCTTGGCAATTTCTGTGTAATTTAAAGTATTTTGCATTGTAAAATCTCAGAAGTGAAGAGCCATCGTTTTTTGTTTGTTTTTATTTTTATTTTTTTTGTGGTCCTGGAGATTGAATCTAAAGGCCCTCTGCCATGGAGCCATCTCTCCAGCCCTTTTTATTTTATATTATGAGACCTGGTCTCACTAAAGTTGTCAAGGGGACCTCCAGCTTGGGATCCTCTAGCTTAAGCCTCCTAGGTCACTGGGTTTCAGGTGTATGCCACCATGCCTGGCATAGTATCTTATTTTTAATTAGCTACTAAAGAGTTGAACAAATATTAATTACTTTCAGTGTTTGACTATAATTGATATTACATCAAGCAGAATTGGATGAATTTATCAATAGTAGATCAATAGTGAGTAATGGGAAATCTGGGCTTTCGAGTGATATATTCTTGGTATTTTGAAGGTGACAGTAGCCTTGGTCCATCACAAGACTTTGTCAAGATTTAAAGAGATTCCTTGACCCCTCATGCATTTTTTCATAGAATACTACCTGTTTATTCATTAAAAGTGTACTGGCAGACAGGGAAGGTGGCACATGCCTGTAATCCCTGGGGCTCAGGAGGCTAAGGTAGGAGGATTGCAAGTTCAAATCTAGCCTCAGCAATTTAGCAAGACCCTGTTTCAAAATCAAAAATAAAATGGGCTGAATCAATAAATGGAGTGGACTCAAACTAAAAAGTTTCTTCTCAGCAAAAGAAACAAATCTGTGAGGTAAATAGAGAGCCTACATCTTGGGAGCAAATCTTTACCCCTCACACATCAATAGAGCACTAGTCTCTAGGGTATATAAAGAACTCAAAAAGCTAAACACCAAAAAAAAAAAAAAAAACCAAAACAAATAACCCAGTCAATAAATGGGCCAAGGACCTGAAGAGACACTTCTCAGAAGATGATGTACAATCAATCAACAAATAACATGAAAAAAATGTGATGACTAGGAATTAGAGAAATGCAAATCAAAAACACTGTAAGATTTCCTCTCACTGCAGTCAGAATGGCAGCTATTATGCATTCAAACAATAATAAGTATTGGCAAGGATGTAGGGGAAAAGGCACACTCATACACTGCTGGAGGGACTGCAAATTGGTGCAGGCAATATGGAAAGCAGTATGGAAATTTCTTGGAAAATTAGGAATGGAACCACCATTTGACCCAGCTATCCCTCTCCTCAGTCTATACCCAAAGGACTTAAAAACAGCATACTACAGGGACACAGCCACATCAGTGTTTATAGCAGCACAATTCACAATAGCTAAACTGTGGAACCAACCTGGAAGCCCTTCAGTAGATGAATGAATTTTTTTTTTTAAATGTGGCATATATACACAGTGGAATATTACTCAGCAATAAAAGAGAATAAAATCATGGCATTTGCAGGTAAATGGATGGAGTTAGAGAAGATAATGCTAAGTGAAGTTAGCCAATCCCAAAAAAAACAAATGCTGAATTTTTTTTTTTTTTTTAATATAAGGAGACTGATTCATAGTGGGATAGGGAGTGGGAACATGGGAGGAATAGATGAACTCTAGATAGGGAAGAGAGGGGGCATGGGTTTATTAATGATGGTGGAATGTGATGATCATTATTATCCAAAGTACAGATATGAAAACACAAATTGGTATGAATATACTGTGTACACAACCAGAGATATGAAAAATTGTGCTCTATATGTGTAATATGAATTGTAATGCATTCTGCTGTCATGTAAATAAAAAATACTATAAATAAATAAATAGTGGGCTAGGGATTTGGCTCGGTGGTTAAGCACCCCTGGGTTCAATCCCTGATACCACACAAAAAAATAAAGAGGTATATTTATGTATTATTTGAAATTAAAAATGCCCTTTTTTCTTCATGGAATTATTATAGACAGGTAACAACACTCATTGTGGAGAAACAGACCTTCCCATTTATTATTGAGATGGGTACAGTTACTTCCATCTCTTCTTTTTTTTTTTTTTAATATTTTTTTAATTGTTGATGGACCTTTATTTTATTTATTTGTATGTGGTGCTGAGAATTGACTCCAGCGCATCACGCATGCTAGGCAAGCATTCTACCACTGAGCCACAACCCCAGCCCCTAGTTCCATCTTTTTGATTGACAGTTTAATATCTATTAAAATTTAATGTTTGACTTGAGCTGGGTATGGTAGTATATGCCTGTAATCCCAGTGACTCAGGAAGCTGAGGCAGGAGGATTCTAAATTCAAGGCCAGCCTCAACAATTTAGCCTGAGTTTAATTTCTTGCAGTTATGAGATTAAGAGCCCATGTTCTTTGGTGGTTTTCAGCTAATGAAAACCATTGCCACATTCTAGGGTCTAGCCACATTCCTTGGCTTTGGGACCCTTTTATCCCTTTTTCAGACCTTTTTGAGGACTGCTTTTAATAATGATTTGTGGGCTTAGCTTGGGCCCACCTAGATAACTTAAGATATTTCTCCCATGTTGACATTCAAATCCTTAATCAAGGAAATTTCTTTTGTCAAGTTAAGGTCATATATTCACAGGTTGTGAGGATTAGGGGAATCATTGTTCTGCCCACCATATAATGCAATGCTCTGAAGAATGAGTTCCATTTACTCAAGTGGAAAGCTGTTTAATGTGCATTAAGTTTTAAAAGCACCTATAGACTTGTGATGTAGCTCAGTGTTAGCACTTGCCTAGAATGTGAAAAGCCTTGAGTTCCATCCCCAGCACAGCTAAATAAACCTTTAAAAAAAAAAAGACGAAGAAGAAGAAGAGAGGAGGGCAACTATATGTACTAGGTATAATATGATCTCATTTCTCTGGAAATTTTTACTTATAAATTTTTTTTAATATACTGTTTTAGTCAGCTTTTTTATTGTGACTGAAAGACCTGGAAAGAACACAATTAGAGGAGGAGAAGTTTATTTTAGGTCTCATGGTTTCAGAGGTGTTAGTCCATAGATGGCTGACTTCAATTCCTCAGGGCCCAAGGCAGGGCAGAACATCATGGTGGAAGAATGTGGTGGAGGGGGCTGGGGATATGGCTCAAGCGGTAGCGCGCTTGCCTGGCATGCGTGCGGCCCGGGTTCGATCCTCAGTACCACATACAGAGATGTTGTGTCTGCCAAAAACTTAAAAATAATTATTAAAAAATTCTCTCTCTCTCCCCCTCTCTCTTTAAAAAAAAAAAAAAGAATGTGGTGGAGGAAAAGTGGCTCAAGACATCTTACCAAGAAACAGAGAGAGAAAGGGAGGGAGGGAGAGGCGCAGGCAGGGCAGAACATCATGGTGGAAGAGTGTAGTAGAGGAAAGCATCTCAAGACATCACACCAGGAAGCGGGGAGTGGGTGGGGGGAGATGCCCCACTCTTCAGGGATAAAATATATGCCCCAAAGGAATGCCTCCAATGACCTGCCTCCTCCAACCACACTTTACCTGCCTATAGTTAACGCCCATTTAATCCCCCTCAGGAGCATTGATTAGGTTAAAACTCTCATAACCCAAACATTTACCTCTATGATTTCTTGCGTTGTCTCACACAAGAGCTCTTTAGGGACATTTAATATCTAAACTGTAACATAAACATAGGGAAAAAATTGGATGACTACACACCAAATTACTGTTATTTCTGAGGATAGAAGTTCTAAGTAGTATAATTTTGTGGAATACAGTATTTGCAATTTTTTACAATTAGCAAATGTTAGTTTTGCAATGTGTTTGTTGTCTAGATAAGTAATTTACTGTAAAGTGCTGAATAGGACCAGAAAGCTAGAACAAGGCTCTTAAAGAGTAGAAGACTTTATTTGGGAATAGAATATAGAGGCAGGTGAAACACTGTTCAACACAAGGGAGACAGTGAACTTTATTCAAAATTGTTACGTATATAATCTTTAAGTAAATAACCTTTTTGTTGAAGAAAAAAGAAATGAACATTTTCCCCCTAGCTGTGTAGAAATTCAAATAGAGAAGAAACAGCCTCATGTATGGATTGTCATTTGACTATTCCATAATTCAGTCTCTTCTTAAGGGACATGTTGATTCTAGGCTCCTACATACTGGCATATTTTGCAATCTGTCTGTAGGGTAAATTTCTAAAAGTGGAACTGCTGGATAAAAGAAGGTGTAGAGCAGGGTACACTGGTACACACTTGTAATCTCAGCTGCTCCTGAGGCAGAAGGATCACAAGTTTGAGGGCTAGCCTGGACAGCTTTGCTCTCTCCAAAATAAAACAAAAAAAGAAGGACTGGGGATATAGCTCAGAACTAGAATACTCCTGGGTTCAGTCTCCAAGACCTCCCATCTCCCACACACACACACAAAAAAAACAGGTATGTATATTTAAACTCTATGATAGAGGAGAGGGATGTAATCAGGGGAGGGGCACCTGGGTATTTCATAAAATCAGTGGTATTTTATTTCTCAACTGAATGGTAGTTATGTGGGTATTTTTATTTTTTGTACCTTGTGATTCATTGTAGACTTTATGAATAAAATCTTTGAGTGAAAGTAATTAACTTTTGGGGTAGATTTTTAAAATTTATCCCAATTTGTTTGTCCCAAAGTCATTCCTAAAGATGTATGAAAATATGAAAGTGCCTGTTTCTCCGCATCCTGATGGTAGTTTGTTATAATTTGTGGTGTGTGTGTGTATATGTGTGGTGGAACTGGGTTATCTACCACTGAGTTACATCCCCAGCCCTTTTTTATTTTTGAGACATGATCTTGCTGAGTTGCTGAGGGTCTCACTAAATTGCCGAGACTGACGTCGAAATTTAGATCCTCCTGACTCAACCTCCTCAGTCACTGGAATTACAGGCAACACACCACTGTACCCAACTCCTGTCTCCCCATTTCTGAACCATATACTTGTATTACTTTCTCTTGATTATTATCTGTTCACCCCAGATGAACAGAGGAGAAGGACATAATATCTCTCATTATGTCCCTCCTTTCTACTCCATAACCACTTAACTCTAGTTGTTTGAATAGGTTATTTGAAGGGTTTTGCCTAAATCAGTATTCAGTGTCTAAATGATTTTGCTCCCTATTGCGCCAGTTAGTATGCTATACTGTAATTACTTTTGCTTTCTTATACAACCTTCTGCTTTTCCTGGAATAATTCATTTTTATTCCCCTACTTTTCAGTTTGTACCTGTCACTACCAAGGCATACCATGCTTTCAGGAATCCCCTCAGTAAGACTGTCTATGATGTAAATTCTAGTAGTCTGCTGTATATAGTAGATAGTATAGTACAGTATACTGATACATATGGTATCCCTGTTCCCAGGGCCTCACACATGCTAGACAAACACTTTCCCTCTGAGTACTCTACCCCTAGCCCTATCCTTTTCTTTTTATATGGGTTCCAGTTTTAATCTCCAAGGATTAAGAGATAGAAAATTGTAGTTTTTTTTAAATTAATAATAAGCTAGGAAGGTTTCTGTAACACTGTCTTTCTAGATGGATTTGCTTGTAGTTTTGCCATCTGCATGGTATTTCTGTGATTGAGAGTGCCCTCTTGTGATACAAAAAGTAGTTCTGGACATGTTAGAATCTCAGGAAGTTTCTGAGTTGTGAAGAGAGGTTTGTGTGATCCTAAGCTTAAGTCTGCCCCATTGGTTATTATATTACATAGTCACATAATATTTACCATCTTGGTTCCCTGAAAAAGACTAAACTGTTAAATTTCAATGGTTCTAGGTGGAACGTCCTCCTTCTCCATTCTCTATGGCTCCACAAGCTTCCCTTCCCCCAGTGCCACCACGACTTGACCTTCTGCAACAGCGAGTATCTGTTCCTTCAAGTACTTCTGGTCTGGGAACTGCTTCTAAGGTAAAGCATTATCCATTTCTATAGTTTTCTGATTCTTTATTGTGCATTAGTGGGTTTTGATTGATTTGCTTCTGTTTTGCTTCCACAGGCTGTTTCTGGCTCCCTTCACAAGGACAAACCATTGCCAATACCTCCCACACTTCGAGATCTTCCCCCACCACCTCCTCCAGACCGGCCATATTCTGTTGGAGCAGAGGCCCGGCCTCAGAGACGCCCCCTGCCTTGTACACCAGGCGACTGTCCATCCAGAGACAAACTGCCCCCTGTCCCCTCTAGCCGCCTTGGGGACTCATGGCTACCCCGACCAATCCCCAAAGTACCAGTAGCTACTCCGAGCCCTAGTGACCCCTGGACAGGAAGAGAATTAACCAACCGGCACTCACTTCCATTTTCTTTGCCATCACAAATGGAGGCCAGAGCAGATGGGTCTAGGCTTGGAAGCACATTCAGTCTGGATACCTCCATGGTGAGCCCTAGTTTTATTTATTTTATTTTATATAGTTAACAAATATCTGTGAGTATCATTTTATAGATCTAAGTTTTTTGATAGGCTTTGTACAGAATAACAGGTAATAAAACATAATCCCTGTTTTCAAGAAATGTATATGTTCACCACTGAGCCATATTCCCAGCCCGTATGTATGTGTGTATGTTTTGAAGGCAAGGTCTCCCTAGGTTGCTCTCAGCCTCTTGAGCTGCTGGGATTACAGGCATGCACCAATGCTCCCAGCTAGTTGTTTTTTGTTATTGTTGTTGTTGTTTTTTTTTTTTTTTTTGGTGGGGAGGGGGTTGGTAGTTTTTTACAGGAAAAAAGAACAAGCAAAACTGATTATACATGCCTAAGGCATGGGAGTATTAGGATCTGGTCTGAATATAGTTTCAAGATAGATCAGAAATATAACAGAAAGGCTTAAGGCATATTGTGGAATGATATGTAGAGCAGAAAGTGTATATTGGATCAGGAGAAAGGGCTAGAATGGAGCAATAACACTACATTATAAGGTCTTTAATACTCCCAAAAGAATTTGAATTTATTTCATAGGAAATGAGAACATTTAAAGGTTTAAATTAGTGCAATGATGTGACCAAAATGATGGATTAAAGAGAATAATCTAATAGTAGGTTGCAAAGCAGATTAGAAAAAAGACAGGTTAATAATCCTTTGTCTAAGCATTCAATAAGGGGTTCGGAGCTGGGGGATGAGAGAGGAGGAATATTTGTAATTTATTGGTTCATTTGTGCACCCGGGAAAAAAGATCTTGCTTTCACAGATTTATTTTCTAGCCAGAGAAAGATAAAATAAACAAGTGAGTAAAATATATAGTAAGTTTGTAATGATAAGGGCCATGGAAAAGAACAGCTCAAAGAAGACTATATAGAGAGAGTTGAGTGGAGGTAGATGGTACAGGATGGGGTGGGGTATAATTCTTAGCAAAGAACTGAGCAGTAGGAAGGTGATCCTGAGGGAAGACCATTCCAGGATGAAAGGAGAAGAAGTGAGTTTGAAAGGGTATGTTTAAAAAATAAAGGGATATAGGCTGAGGTTATAGCTCAGTGCTTGCCTAGCATGTGTGAAATACTGGGTTTGATTCTCAGCACCACATATAAATAAATAAAATAAAGGTCCACAGACAACTGTGAGTGAGTGTATATGTATATAAATAAAGGAGTATAATATAGATGGTACCAAGCAAACAAGTGGAATAGTCATTGTCTCTGAACAGAAGTGGCAGCCAGATTAGGTGGAGCCTTTAGAGAGCACGAAATAGGCGTAAATCAGGAAGCTAGCAGTATGTGGAAAAGGCAAGAAATCACATGCACGTGTACTCCAAGGTTTTGGAACGGGTAACAAGAGACATGTTGAATTTGAAATGGACCTTTTTTAAAATTTTTTTTAGATATTGATGAGCCTTTATTTTATTTATGTATTTTTATGCAGTGCTGAGAATTAAACCCAGGGCCTCACACACACCTCAGCTGAGATGGACATTTGATAGAAGTGATTAGGTGGTTGGAAATCTGAACAGACAAAATGGGAAGGATGGAGTTGTGAAATGTCTTGGCACTTGATTATTTCTTGGTTGTCAGGAAAGATACTTGTAACCAAGTAATACTTAAGTGGTACCTGTGTGCCTGGCAGTCTAATTAGAATGGATAGTTGTGACTTTCTGGTGGTATCAATACTGAATGACCATTTTGAGTTTGTGTATCCATCATTTAAGCTAGAAATAATATTTGTATAGATAAGCAATTTTCTTAAATAATTTTAGAATTAAAACAATCTATTTCTCTGGCTCTTTTGAAATCTGTCTCCCTCTCCCTTACATTTAAAAGTTCTTCAAAGCCTGACAGCAATGATGTTTTTGTCAGAGGTGATAACCTGTAAGCATGGCTTGATTAGTGAGGTCCCTGTTTGTATTATCATTCTTGTGATTTTGAAAAGATTCAGTAAGAGGACATACTTAGCTATCCTAAGAAGATTCTTTTCAACACTTTCTTTACTTTCCAGAGTATGAATAGCAGCCCATTAGCAGGTCCAGAGTGTGAACACCCCAAAATCAAACCTTCCTCTTCTGCCAATGCCATTTATTCTCTGGCTGCCAGGTAAGTTTATTAAAGCTGTATTTCATTCACTGGAGTTAGTACTTTTAAACTGTTCGTTTGTAGAAAATCCAGAAAAGTGTAGAGGGAAATAAAAATTCCTCTGTATTTGTACAGTGTAGAAGTCATCGTGTTTTGTTTTGGAATTTGTCTTTCTATTCTTTTTACTGTGTTTATAGATCATTCTTGCTGGGCTTGTCACATGTATCTTTTCAAGGAAGCAATTTTGGTTCTGTTGATTTTTCTTAAAAAAATTCTTGCTGGGTGTCGGTTTTCTGTGTCATTGCTTTCTGACTTTCTAATTTTTTCCCCTCCAGTTCTGGGCATTGAGCCTAGGATTTTGCATACTGAGCTACATCCCTAGTTTGTATTTTTTATTTGGGGACAAGATCTCACTAAGGTGCCCAGGCTGGCCTTGAGGTTGTGATCTTCCTACCTTAGCTTCCCAAGTAGTTGGGTTTATAGGCATACATGTACTACCATGCCCCACCTCTTCTCCATGCCCCACCTCTTCTTTTTCTTTTAAATATATGGTTTCAATATGTTGTCCAGGCTGGTCTTAAACGCATGAGCTCAAATGATCCTCCTGCCTCAGCCTCCCAAATAGCTAAGACTACAGGCATCTGCCACTGTTCCAAGCTTTTGCTCTTTTATCTTATTCTTCCAACTTTCTTCAGGCTTAATTTACTATTTTTCTAGCATCATGAAATGGATTCTGTGGTTTGTTTGTTTGTTTTAAGAGAGAGAGAATTTTTTAATATTTATTTTTTAGTTTTCGGTGGACACAACATCTTTGTTTGTATGTGGTGCTGAGGATCGAACCCGGGCCGCACGCATGCCACGCGAGCGCGCTACCACTTGAGCCACATCCCCAGCCCCAGGATTCTGTGTTATTCTGCTTGAGCTGCCATAACAAAATACCAAAGACTGGGTGCTTTAAACAGTGGAGATTTATTTACTGTTTAAATAATTCTAAAAAGATTTAAGAAAATTGGTTATCTACACAAATATTATTTCTAGCTTAAATGATAGATACACAATTCTGGAGGCTGGAAATCTGGGATTAGGGGGTCAGTTTCTGGTGAGGTTCCATGTTCAAATATAACCGTACTGGGTATGAGGGCTTGAACATGTGAATTTTGGGAAGGACACAAACATACAGTTCATAACAAGTGTTTAGCTGCATTCCACAAATTTTGATGTCATTTTCATTATTTTTTTAAAATATTTTTTTAATTGTTGGTGGACCTTTATTATTTAAATTTGGTGCTGAGAAGCAAACCTAATGCTCAACCCCAGCCTCCATTTTCATTTAAGTTCAAAATATATGATTTTTCTGTTGTTAATAATTCTTGAGTTATTTATGTGTTACCCAATTTTCAAATATTTAAAGATTTTCGGTTTTTCTGTTCTGCTTTCTGGCTTCTTTCTAATGTGGTTAGAGACCATCTTCTTTATTGACTAGTTTGTGGTAAGATCCAGTAATATGTGTCACCTTTATCTCATAAGATTGTATATTCTGCAGTTGTTGGGTATAGCATTCTGTACATGTTAGTGAAGTTGTGATCAAATCTTTTATTACTCAGATTTTTAACAATCTACCTTTTCTATATTTTCAGATAACTGAAATGAGTTTGTTTGTTGAATTCTCCTCTATAATTGTGAATTTCTCTTTGTTCCTTTTAATTCAGTCCTTTTTTATTACATGTGTATTTAGTTTGTGTAATAATAGAAATTTAAAATTATTTATAGTAAATAGTGAGCATTTTTATTATCCTTAAATCTATTGTTTACTCAATAGTTCTGTTTCTTGCTTGTCTTAAGTTTGCTTTTTCTTAATTAAAATGGCTTACATCAGCTGTCTTTTAGTTAGTATTTCTATGACCTTTCTCTACTCTTTTACTTTCAATTTTTCTATGACCTTTAAGGTATGTTTCCCGCAAGCAGTATATTTTGGGTTTTTCTTCCCTTAAATCCAGTCTGGCATTTTTGATCTTGAGGTAATCAGAATATTTGTTCTTACTCTTCTCCCCATTTTTCTAATCTTTTCTTGGTTCCTTTTTTCGTCTTTTCTTACTTTCTTTTGAATTAAAGGTTTTTTCTTAGCCATTTCATCCCTTCGGTTATTCTTTTAATATTTATTCTGGAGAGCTGGGCATGGTGGTATACACCTGTAATCCCAACAACTTGGGAGGCTGAAGCAGGATGATCACAAGTTTGAGGCTAGCCTGAGCAATTGACAGTGAAACGCTGTCTCACAATAAAAATGAAAAGGGCTAAAGGTATAGCTCAGTGGTAAGCATTCCTGAGTTCAGTCCTTGATACAAAAAAAAAAGTTATCCTGGAGATTCCAACATGTACTCTTGATTTGTTAGAATATGCTTTAAATCAGTGTCTCCTGATACTTCTGGACATTTAAATTTCTCTTGGGGGCTGGGGATGTGGCTCAAGCGGTAGCGCGCTCGCCTGGCATGCGTGCGGCCCGGGTTCGATCCTCAGCACCACATACAAACAAAGATGTTGTGTCCGCCGAAAGCTAAAAAATAAATATTAAAAAAATAAATAAATAAATAAATTTCTCTTGGATTTATCCTACAGTGCTCCTTACTTGTTCCTGCTGTTCTCTGAATGCTTTCCATCTCCCTAAAAAACTTCCTTTAGTGTGTGTGTGTGCTTACGTGTGTGATTGTGTGTTTAATGCTCTTCTATCAGTTGATTCAAATTTTGTTTGACTGAAAATATCTTCATTGCACCCTCTCCCCCTGTACTGAGTATTAAACCCATGGTGCTCTACAATAGAGCTATATATGCCCAGCCCTTTTTATGTTTTATTTTGAGACAACATCTTCCTGAGTTTCCCAGGCTGGCCTCAAACTTGTAGCCTTCTGCATAAGCTGGGTTTTCAACACATGCCACCACGTCCAACTTTACCTTTTTTTTTTCTTTTTGGTAGAACTGGGGATTGAACCCAGGGGGTGCTTTACCACTGAGTTCCATTTTTACATTTTAAAAAAAATTTATGACAGGGTCTCACTCTATTGCTGAGACTGGCCTTGATCTTGCAATCCTCCTGCCTCAGCCTTCTGAGTAGTTGAGATTATAGGCCTGTACCAGCACATCTATCTCTCAGCCAATATTTCTTAAAACAGATTGAACTTTGTAATCTTTCTTTATCTGGGCCTCTAATTTCTTGAACATCATCAGATTCTTTCACTGTCTTCTACCACTCATTATAGGCTTACTTGCATATTTTCCATTCTCTTTTATCTTGTTTCTTGAACATATGAATTATAATTATTTTAAAGGCTGTATCTGATAACTGTAGCTCTGTCTCTAGAGATTAGCAAGACGACCACAGTAACTGCTTGGCTCTTCAGTTGCTCACGACTACCCGCTTGATTTCTCAGAATCTAGCCCCATGCATGAAGAGTTTAGGGATTAGTAATAGCTTTAGGAAATTACAAGCAGAATTTTAGGCCTACTTCTTTGCTGTTTCCTTCCCTGGGATTTTTTTTTTTTTTTTTAAGTTGTAGATGGACACAATGCTTTTATTTTATTTATTTTTATGCAGTGCTGAGGATCGAACCCAGTGCCTCACATGTGTTAGGCAAGTGCTCTACCGCTGAGCCACACTGAGGATTTTTGGCTCCCCACATCTTGGTTGTCATGACACCTCAAAATTCCAGTCTCTCTCCCTAATCCATTGAGATCTACTTCAAATCCCAAATTCAGAACTCCAAATTTGAGAGTTGCTTCAGTGTCATCATCATCGTTGTCATCGTATCGTCATTGGTGTCGTCTTTAATGTTTTTTTTTTTTAGTTGTGGATGGACACATACCTGTATTTTATTTATTTTTTTGTGGTGCTGAGGATCAAACCCAGTGCCTCATATGTGTTAGGCAAGCGCTCTGCCACTGAGCCACAACCCCAGCCTGTATTCTTGAATCTCGGTCTCTGAAGTTCTGGTTTCCTGGTTGCTCTCCAGTACTTTTTTTTAAAGTATATATTGCCAAAATACTTTGTGACAAGGAAACACATTTTATACTTTTATGAACTTCATCAAAGAGATGGGAGGAAGGGGTGCTGGGGGTAGAACCCAGGGTCTTTTGCATGCTAGGCAAGAGCTCTGCTACTGAGCTCTACACCGCAGCCCTAAAGTATTTTTGGATAGCTCTCTTAATAGGACTTCTTTTTTGTTAATTTTAGAAAACATAGATAAGCAATACTGAAGGAATAAGAGTTATCTGTAATCTTATTTTACCTAGAGTCAAATAGTAATTATTCACAATTTGATGTATGTTCTTTGTTATTCTTATGTGTATGGAATCATCATTGAGGCTGGTTTTCGCTAGACATATTTGAACATTTTTGCATGTCATTACATATTCTTCTTCTATGTTGATTTTCAAATTATTTTAGATTATTTTCAAGCAGTGTGACTGACTCTAGGGGAACCCTGATTTGTAAGATAAGGATAGGTCTATGGTAGTGGAAGCAGAAGTAGGCTGTAGCCTCTTAGGTCCTGAGTAAAACCTCTAAAGGCCCCAAGAGCCAGCAATTGGCACCAGCTCTCTTACTCTCTGTGTGGGTCAAAGTCTACTTATTCAGTATGCTATTATTGGATATGTAGGTTGTACCACCCCCCGCACCCCGCCCGGTGTTATAAGTAATGCTGTCATGAGTATTCTTGATTGCTTCCCAAGGGAAAACTCTTAGAAGTGGAATTTCTGAGACCCAGGATGCACATGTGATGAAGTGCTTTTGTTGAATCATACTACAGAAAAGTTGTAACAACTTGTTTCTACAGCTATATATTCTCATTTATTTCCTTACACTTTTACTGACACTTGGTCTTTTCCACTTGTTAAAAATTACAAACTGAGCCAGGCGTGGTGGTGCATGCCTGTAATCCCAGCTGCTCAGGAGGCTGAGGCAGGAGGATCACAAGTTCAAAGCCAGCCTCAGCAACTTAGTTAGTCCTTAAGCAACTTAGGGAGATCCTGTCTTAAAATCAGGGGATAAAAGGGGGGGGTGATAGGGATGTGGCTCCGTGGTTTAGTGCCCCTGGGTTCAATCCCTAGTACCACCAAAAAAAAAAGGAAAAAAAAAATTACAAACAGAATAAAAGTGAAAGAATCCTAGACTGAACCCACCACCTGAATTCAAATTTTAGTATTTTTTTTCTTTATCACATTATCTGTGTTTCATCCATTGCTCTCTCTTGGTTGTTTGTGTATTTCAAAGCAAATTGTAGATACTAGCACACTTCTGCTTAAGTCTTCAGCATGCATTGTATAAATCTTAAGAGAATATTTGCTGAATTTTTACGAGGCATACGTAAGGGAAGTTTTTCAACAATAAAAGTGGTAGGTAGACATAAGAAAAAATCTCACATGAGATTTGATTGGAAAATTAAACATTAAATAAAGAGAGACAAATAAATGCAAGAGGTAGTCTTTGTAGAGAATTTAGAATATGCTAACAAAAGGTGTAAAGAAAAAGAGAAGAGAAACTCAAATTCATACTCTAAGAGGCAATTTGTATGTGTGTCTGTTTCTTTTTTGGGAGCCAGGGGAGTACTGGGAATTAAACCCAGGGGCACTTAACCACTGAGCCTCATCCCCAGCCCTTTTTAAATTTTATTTAGAGACAGAGTCTGACTGAGTTGCTTAAGGCCTCAGTCTCCCGAGTCACTGGGGTTACAGGTGGGTGCCACTGTGCCCAGCAGTGTGTGTTTCTTACACAAAATTGATTGGTGTTTTGTCTTCTTTCATAGAGTAGGATGGCAATTTTGTTTCAAAAGCTTCTGGGTAAAGAATTATGTATGTTAAATGTAAGACCAAGATCCCTGAAATCAGAAACTTGGGATCTAGTCCCAAAATTGATGGTTAACTACCAAGTTACTTTTTTCCCTCTTTTTATTTTAGATTTTGTTTTATGTCAAATATTGAAGAGAAAAAGTATTTATACTCTAAGGTAATATGTGAGAAAGATTTGGACAAGCTATGTATTCTTTGAAACCATGGGTAGACTTGAGAATTAGAATTTGATATACATTCCTAGCATGTGAAGAAATGCCACCTGCCATTTCTTATTTCACACCCAGTGAAAGAAAAACTAAGGTAGTAGCTTTAAAACTGAGACACTATGATGGAACTTATTTGGAGGTTGGAACTAACTGGTGGTATGGCCGTAACTTAAGTATCTATCTCAATGTGACACATCTCAAAACATAAGAGCCACACCTTTGGTCATTTGAGCATAGTGTTTTTGGTGTGCTTTTTGCTAATCTCCTATCTTACCAGTAGAAATAGTAGTTTCTTAGATGGCATGTATTTGTTCTGTCAAATTTGAGTTGTGTCTGTTTTGAAACTGTTTATTTCATATTGGAAACTTTTCCAGCTATTGATTCTTTTTTCTTTTTAAAAAAATTTATCTTCCAGACCTCTTCCTGTGCCAAAACTGCCACCTGGGGAGCAGGGTGAGAATGAGGAGGACACAGAATATATGACTCCCTCTTCTAGGCCAATAGGGATCCAAAAGCCAGAACCAAAACGGCCTTTGGAGGCAACCCAGAGTTCACGGTAAGTTCACAACAACCATGTAGGGCCAGATACCTTTATATGGATAATTCAGTTGACATCCCTCACCTGCTTCACTTGCTACTTGTATGTACTGTTAGCCAGCCAGAAGTAACAGCAGAAAGATAAATCTGGTCCCTAAAGTCTCTTGAAGCAATAAACAGTTCCACTTACATTAGTATCACAGTAACTTCCAAAACACGAATTATCTGTAACTTGTAACAAGAGTTGATCTTAAAACATTTACTAGTTATTTTGGTACAAGGAGAATATGTTGTCTTTAGAGGATCAGGGTATAGGGTAGTCTCAATAGGTTGCAGGTAACGTTTATTTCCAAAGATCATTTTGCTTCTTATTTCTGGTTCAGAGTATGTGATTGTGACCTGCAGATTGATAGCTGTACCTATGAAGCAATGTATAATATTCAGTCCCAGGCGCCATCTGTCACCGAGAACAGCACCTTTGGTGAGTTGCTTCTCTGCTACTTAAAAATCAGTGATGGGCTGGGGGTGTGGCTCAAGCGGTAGCGGGCTCGCCTGGCATGCGTGTGGCCTGGGTTCGATCCTCAGCACCACATACAAACAAAGATGTTGTGTCCGCCGAAAACTAAAAGAATAAATATTAAAAAAATTCTTTCTCTCTCTCTCTTTAAAAAAAAAAAAAATCAGTGATGTGCTAGAGGAATGAACCTATAATATTTAACTAATGAGATAGCTTGACCTACAGAGAAAATTATTACTAAAATTACTAAAGATCTTTTCTTTTTTGGACCGGGGATTGAACTCAGGGGCACTTGACCACTGAACCACATCCCCAGTCCTATTTTATATTTTATTTAGAGACAGGGTCTCATCGAGTTGTTTAGTGCCTCGCTTTTGTTGAGGCTGGCTTTCAACTCACGATCCTCCTGCTTCAGTCTCCAAGCTGCTGGGATTATAGGCACGCACCACTGTGCCCAGCTATTTTAAGTAATCTTATTTGGCAAAACAAGGTGGGGCAGTCGCCTCCCTTTTTTATATCGTTTCCACACAGCTAGTTCCTTTTGTGATTTTTCGTTCTCCCAAGGCCTAGAGACATTTGAATTATATGGCCTAGACCTACAATGCTGGCAGACTCTTTTATTCCCATTGCATTGATGAAATTTTTGTGTGTGGGGGTGATACATGCTCAATTCCCATACTAACTAGCTTACCAAGTTGAAAGTTCAAATAAGCCTGCAAACATAGGACGCTTTGGCTGATCTCCTGAGGTGAGGTGCAGATAGAATTGCTATAAAATTGCACTTGAGTCTTTGGCATCAGTAATTTCTAACCTTACAAGAGTGACCTTTCACAGGTTCAACAACAGAACTACAGAATTGGTACACATTTTATTTTTTTGTTTGTTCTGTCACCTTCAATAGTGTCTCATATTGGTGTCCAGCCTGCCGTAGACATTGAGTACTTATTAAATGAAGTAAATGTGTGTGTGTGCATGAATGAATAGATGCTTCTGGGTTAAAATGTGTTAGAAGTTGAGTTATGTCAGAAGAAGATAATTTTATGAACTTTTCTCCAGGTGAAGGGAATTTGGCTGCAGCCCACACCAACACTGGCCCTGAAGAATCAGAAAATGAGGATGATGGATATGATGTCCCTAAGCCACCTGTGCCAGTTGTGCTGGCCCGCCGAACTCTCTCAGACATCTCTAATGCCAGCTCCTCCTTTGGCTGGTTGTCTCTGGATGGTGATCCCTCAACAAGTGAGTCTCCAGGCTCCCTTGAGCCTGTCCTGAATTGCTGTCTAGCTCCTAATTTATACTGAAACAGATGATCCTCTCATGGCAGTAAGTCAGTAAGTAGTAGTGGTAGACTAAATAAATTCTGTGTCTAAATGGAAGAAAAGCTGGTTCTAGAACTCAAAGTAGGAAATGAAAGTAATATGGCTCTTCCCATTCTGGGAGTAGGTAGGGTTTCTAGCTCTTCTGAGTAGGCCTGTGACAGAAGTAATTAAGCTTGATGGTTCAGACCACACATTCCTTTTTCCTGGCCCTGGCCCTGGCCCACTGGGAAGGAGGCATGCTGCCCTGGAACACACACAGAATGGGCCAAGAGCCAGCCCACATTGAGCCTTGACTGTTGGGGCTCAACAGCACCTGTGGCAGCAGCCAGAGTTGCTGTCATTTTGGAAGTTGAAGAGAGCTTTCAGGACAGCTGGTGGAAAAGATCTACAGCATCCAGTTGCCTAAACAGGTGGTGATCACTACTCAACCTGGCTTAAGGCATCTTCACTGCAACTTGGGCTAATTTCTGCCTTTTTGTTTATAGGAGTTTAGTATCTGCTCTGGTCCATTCCGAATTTTTAAAAATCCAGATGATTATGTGTGTGAAAACATTGCTAAGTATAAATCATGATGCAGATGTTACATGCTCACAGCAACAGTTATTGTTGATAAAACAGGTGCATGGTATATTTAGAAGGTGGCACTTACTATAAGGAGGTGGCTAGATCCAAGAGCCTTTTAACCTCTAAAACCCAGCTTTGTGACAGGGGAGTACATGCCCCTAATTAACAGGGGTCAGTAATATCTTGATATTAATATATTGTTGTTACTATTATTACTGCCATTAAATGAGGATTTCCCCCAGGTTTGCAAATATTTCTTTCCTATTTCTTCTAGACTTCACTGAGGGTTCCCAAGTTCCTGAGCGGCCCCCTAAACCATTCCCTCGAAGAATCAACTCTGAACGAAAAGCAGGTAGCTGTCAGCAAGGTGGCAGTGCTACCGCCACACCTCCTGCTGCCTCCTCACCTCAGCTCTCCAGTGAGATCGAGAACCTCATGAATCAGGGTTACTCCTATCAGGACATTCAGAAAGCTTTGGTCATTGCCCACAACAACATTGAAATGGCCAAAAACATCCTCCGGGAATTTGTTTCTATTTCTTCCCCTGCCCATGTGGCCACCTAGCACATCCCTCCCTGCAGCGGCTTCAGAGGACCCACGAGCCAGGCTCTTACTTAAGGAGCACCTAGGAGGGCAGAGGCTCCTTTGGGGACTTCACAATGAGGTCCTGCCCTCTCTGTAGGTATCACACCTGTGGTTCCAAGATTTCAAAGCAGTGGAATGAAAATGGAGCAGCTAGTGTGTTTTATTATTATATTGGTCTTGAGAGTGCATTTGAAGGTGTCCTTCAGTCCCCACCAGGAGAGTGAGTGGATTTTTATTACATGGTAGCCTACCTGGGGGAACAGTCCAGAAAGTAGTAGAACAGGTATTGTGCTGTAAACCCTAACGGAGGACATAAGACTTTTCTGGGTTAAGGATGTGACTCTGTGTGTGTGTGTGTGTGTGTGTGTGTCTGTCTGTCTGTCTGTGGTTGTATGTGTCCTGTGATTATGATGATCCTGCTGTGTGTGTTAATTCCAGGCGGGGAATTGGCACAAGAGGTTCAGGAAGGAATCTTTTAAAGACTTCTATCTACTGTGGTATTACCCCTAACTCTAGTGTGTATTACAACTTCAACACTCCACTTTGGCTTAGATTATCATGTGCATAGCTCATATTTTTAGAATTCCCTTCCTCTGTTCTATCCCTTTGCTCTGTTCTTTCCCCTATCAGCTTCTTTTTCCTCCTCCTTGGTTTTCTGTCATTGTCAGCAGGCTTGCTGTGGCCAGCCTTCCTGAGGCTAAGCAGCTTTTATAGGATGTTCCTTATTACATGTGATGGTGTTTGGGAGAGAGAGTACTATTGCTACGTTGTTATGGTTTTGTTTGACACTAGGAGCTAACACTGGTCACTCCAAAGCACTATTTCTATAGGAACATTGAATTTGTTAAAATAAAATGTTTGAACTATCCTAATTACATAATGACTAATTTGAGATAGAGGCCTTCAAATACATTCCATGTCCTCCCCAGAAAATAGTCTGGGGGAGTCCGTTGCCTTGGTGCCAGGTGTGTGTCCTGGTATAGGTCATGAGTCTTTCTACTTAATGGAAAGGGAAGAACATTTGTTTCCAGGATAATTTTCTGGCCCTAATACCACAAAGTTTTTAGAAAGCTTCATTCACATGCTATTTAGATGCACAAAATAGATAGTAAGGATTTGGATTTATTTGTTCAGTTTTTCTTCCTCGTGCATTAATTTCAGCTTATATTATGTTTTACATTTCTCCCTTTGAGCATGAGCCAGGTTAGATTTTCCAAAATGGCTTTTATCTTTGCCCTTTAAGGAGTAGGGATACCACCTATGGTAGCACAGTGTTTTGCTGATAATCAGCATCTTTCCTACTTTGGTGCTGCCCAGTGACTTGGTTTTCTCTTGTGTCTAGGGCTAGGGAATGAAATGTCTCTTTCCTCTCTTCCCTTTTTTTTTCCTCTTAGGTATATGCTTTATAGTAAATAGGCATCATTCATTACAAAAAATGACTCTATTCAAAGACAATATGGGGAAGAGCTGGCAGTTTATGTAGTTGCAAGTTCATAAAGAAACTTAGGTGTCCAGTTGGGAGTCCTGTTCTTCAGTTCCTGTGGATAGTGCTCTATGGCCCCTTGAGTTCAGTTCTCTGTCCTGAGTCTTTTGCTGACTTCCCTAATGGTGGTATCCTTCCTCCATGTCATAAGCAAGGCTGCTCTTGGATAAATTACCTTCCTTGGGATCTAAATCTTGCTTTTGTCATTAGGTTCAGACAAAAATGGCTCGCCTTAAACCTGCTTTCTTTCCATTCTTGGCATCTTTGGAACTGAAACCTTTACTAACGCTTCTCTTGGTATCCAGCTACTTCTAGATCTTTTATTTTTGTCCTCTTATCCCTGAACTATTTATATTTCTGGAGCAGAGCAAACTCTAGTACAGGACCTCATATTGATTTGCATAGCCCACCAGCAGGTGCAGGAGGCCCTACTCTGGGGTGGAGGGAGGCAGGGAAAGTGGGTACTGAGTGGCAAAGAGTAGTCTACCATCCTCTTCTAAAAACTGACAACATTCATTTTGCATTTTGTTTCACTATTGAAGGACTAGACAAAGAACTAGAAAAAAAGACAACAGTTTCCAGGCCTGTCCATGGTGTAATTCTTCTTTCTCTACAGCTACTGTCCATAGTCAAGATCTGTCAAGAAAACCAAGCAGTCACTGCATCTCTTCTGCCTGTCCAGTGTATTCACATCTTCTGTGGAGGTTATTGCTCATACTGGCTAGACTAAGGGTCATTTCATCCTTTATTTTCCTGAGCACCTGTGTAGCTCTTCAAGTCAGCCCTGAAAAAAGTGTCTAGGTTGCTGGTGGAGCACATGCATTGTTGACGTGGCTTGGGTAGTTTTAGTTTGTCAGGTGTGTATCTGCAGACACTGAAGGCTTTGAACCATTACATGAGGACCTATCCTTTGGATGTTCTAAGGATATATGTGGGCTTGTGCCTGAAATTGCCAGGTAAGCTTCAGGAAGGTTTTCACATGGCTCTTGTTTTCAAAATAGTCTCAAAACTTGAATTTCTTACATTTTCTTTTGAATAAGGCACCATTAACCATTTCTTATCCTCCATTCATATGGTAATTTTTAATTCTTTGGCACTTGCTCTGAATTTAACTAAAATTGCCCTTTCAGGCTTTTGAGTTTTCCCATGTTGGCAAGATCTCCTAATTACATATAGTCAATATGGTCAGGAGACCCACTTGAATGTTTTCCTTTTTATCAAATTAATTAAACCATTCTATTCAACCTAATTTCCTGTTTTCCCCACATTTTCCTGACTTGCTTTACATAGCCTGCCTCATTGCTGGGTCTTCCAGGTACTGTGACTAGACTTTTCCAGCTGCCTCTCCCATGTTCCTTCTACTAAAATGAAAGGGTTTTAAGTGAACTCTATAATATACCTCCCTTTAGTTAAATAATAGACTCATCTCAGCATGTATCTGTTAATATTTATTTAAATATTGATCTCTACCTGTGCATGGCTATTCTCCTGTACTAGACTTCTCTTTCTCTCCACAATCCCACCCTATATATTCTGCCTTTTTTTTTTTTTTTTTTTTTTTTTTTTTTTTTTTTTTTGTAAAAAAAAACGGGGGGGGGGGGGGGAGGTTGCTATTCTTTATACTTAAAGTATTTACTTCCTTTATAGAAAAGTAAAATGTGTTTTATGGTCCCAAAAGCAACTTACAAATTAATTTTTGTAACAACTTTCTTGCAAACTAGGGATCAGCTTTAAGACACCTTTAACAAGATCTAGAGTTTTTTGTAGGTGATTAGCAGTGGTGTTAATGCAGAATATTTTCCTACCTCATGTCATGAAAGTTAGAAGGTTACTGACCTTATATTTTGCTTTTGCTGTTGGTCTTTTTGACTCTGGAATGACCATTATCCACTGAATACTGCCCTGGTTATAGCAGTTCAGTTGTTCACTCAGCAAATGTTTGGGTGATTAGCATGCACCAGGAATGTCAGCTATATGTTATTCCCTTCCACCACATGGTAGTTTACTGATGTTGAGGGATTGTACTTCAGGCTATCTAGCACTTGAATTTGATCCTAAAATATCTCCTCCAAATAAGATTGTACAATTTTATTCACAGCTTTTATGCAGACAACTATTCTTAAAGATCTGTGCTGGTTAAAATCAGTCTAAGACTTTCCCCTGAAATCCCTGTTGTTTTCCTATAGCTTTTATAATATTGAGGAGATTCCTTGGTCTGAGTTTCATGTATACCCACCTTTGTTATGTCTTTCAGTGGAATCTATTTGGCTTAAGAGGTATGTTGGCTTAGAGTTGTATAGTAGGGCATTAAATGTTTAAGCAAAGGATCTGCCCACAGCCCCTTTTCAATCTAGTGCCTTCTTTGATCTTTTTACTGAGCTGCTTGTGTCCCTAATCCCCATTCTTGCGAAGGTTTCTCTTTTAGCCTTCTGTTACCTTTTACCATCCCTTACTACTGGGGATTTGTTTTCCAATCCTTCAGCGGCCTTTGCAGCTAATTCCATGTCATTGAAGGGGTGGAGGTAGGAGGCATCTGTCTTTGGATCCTGATTTTCAGTGGATTGTGTGGTCTTCTGAGAGCCAGTCAGTAGTGCAGACTGGACTCAGTGCTCTGTATCAGCCTTTCCTTCAGAGCAGGGAACCACAGAGATGTCAGAGCTTAGTATCAACACCTTATTATTCTCCTAAACCCTAACACTTCAAAATTCAATCTAAAGTATTCTAACTTCACCTAAAACATTTCTATTACAACTTTGATCTTAGTCTACATTAGCAATCTTTCTTTAGGAAATGCACATAACCACTTAATTCATGAAGGAGGGCAGATGGTGGAACCAGGTTGAGATTGTATTTTAACTTTCCTGGTTACGGATCCTTTGGATACAAGAAATATTCCAGGTAAAGAAAGGAGGAAGTCAGTGATAAGGATGCAGAATATTTTTATGGAACCCAGGATAGGAAGTACAGTTGATTCTTGCATGGTCCCTCCTGCTTCATAGCCTGTTTGCATGGATAGCCTCCAAATAGGCACCCCAGTCCTCAAGTCCATGTGACCCTCCAGCTCTAGGGATCACCACAACCACGAACAGATTCCCAGTTCCTCTTAGTTCATATTCTTAAGAAAGAATAAACTCAGCCCAGCATGTTGATCAGATGTCCATCCTTGACCATTTGGCCTTCAGGAAGAACAGGAAAGTGTGGCAAATGGCAGCAGCAGCAGAGCTAGGGACTTCTACTCCAGTGGTAAAGCTACTGTTGTCCTGCTTTTTTGAGAGTGGGAAGGTGTCTGGGTCATCGAGCAAATCCTTAGAATCACTTTAATTCTGCTCACTGTCTTTGTTTCTTCTTTATTTCTTACTCTTCTTCTTCTTATGAGTCTTGGCATCCAAGATTTTTTTCCTCCCTCTTGAGGGCATGCTAGTCTGTTCCTAGGTGGCATTTCTTAGCCACCCTTCAACCTCAGGTCTTCAGCCTTCTTTCATGTCACTGAGAACAGATCACGATTCCACTTAGCTACTACCCTTGAGTTTGTGGACTCTTCAGGTTTTAGTGTTGAGTATCTATCCATCCTGTGAGCTCCTGGCTATCTTGCATCTCCTCTTCTCCTCTTCCTTGTTGTCCTGTGTGAGGGAGCTCTACAGTGTTGTTCCTAGGCACCTCAGAAACTGCTTTGCTGGAGCCAGTAAAAATGGGTGAGAGTTGGGATGTTTCCAGGATATAGAGATTCCAGTGTAGTATAGAGCTTCTACTGCAAGCTCCTTAGATAGGATGTATTTCCCTGTCCAGTTGTTTTCCTTTATATTAAAGCTTTTTTTTTTTTTTTTTTTAAAAAAAACTTTGCTTCACCTTGCCTGGATCTGTTGTTTTTCCCATCCTGAGCCTGTTTTGCATTGTAAGGCATTTTATATGCCTTGCTTACAACTTTTTTAAACTACCAGAGTCATTTGATATACACAGAAGTAACCTAATAATCCAAAGACATACATCAAGGCACATGGAAAGGGTAGGTCACCAGATTTTGTGTTTGATAGTCTAGTCTAGGCTCCTAAATTAAGGATTAGAGGGACAGTAGTGCCATGTGCCTTCACAGTGTCCCAGGAAATCTGGGTTGTTCCAAAGGGAAGAAGAATCAGTATTCCTTGGTTCCAGAAAGTAGTAAAAGAGGAAGAGATGGAGAAATAGGGATGGAGAGAGCAGACCCTGCACATTCATTCAGCGTCAAATGGAAAGCCCCCAGGCAGAAGGGCCAGCTGTTGACTAACAGTCGTAACAGCTGTTTGGAGATCTTGCCACCCCTTTCCCTAGTATAGTGTTTGAGAAAAATGTGGCTGACCACTCCCTGTGTTTTACAGAGTCAAGGCTGGAAGCCAGCCTCAGATCTCCTGATCTGGCAGCTGAACAAATCAGCAGAGTTCTGATCACCTGGCTTTGTAATCCTGATTCAGTCCCAAAAGAGAATGTGAGCGGCAACCCTCCACATTGCCTTGCACAGGTTTTTTTCCTACCCTGAACCCGATGGAAGGCCAGAGAAGATGATTGCTCAGCACTTCTGCAAGCAGCTCCTCAGGCTTTGCACTGCCTCCCTGCACAGGCCCTGAAGTGGGAGTGCTGGGTGCCTGTTTCACTTCTTCCTTCCTGCCTACCTCTGACCCCATGGTGGGTGAGGGTAGCCATGCTTATGGCTGTCTTGAAACTGAAGAGGCAGAGAACTACTTGAGTCTGTAAACCATGTGTTCTCTCCCATGGCCTCTCTCTCTCCTGTCCTGTTGTTGGGGTGAACAAGCCTATAGTGCAATGCCTGTGGAGAGGAGATGGCTCCTGACCTACCCTGCTCAGTACTGTTTTAGTGTCTTGGCCTTGAATGACAAGCCCAACTTCCTGCTGAAACATGTGGCAGGGCATGGCAGCTATGAGGTACCTCCTACATCTGCTTTCTGGCTGTGGTTACTTGGGATTTTTAACCTTATATATCTTTTTCCTTTATTCAAAACAATTTTTAGCACACTGAAAAAAAAAAAAAAAAAGCCAAACGTTTTGTGCCTTTCTAAGGCAGCACTGTATCCAAGGCTGCATTTTAGGACTTAATATGGAAATGCCCGAGTCTGAGCTCCTCTACCTTGAGTATCCTTAGCCCTAGAGTCCAGGGAATAGGAAGAGTCTCTCTGTGGCTGGAGATGTGGCACACAAGATACAGTATGCCTGTGGTCCCTTTGCTCTATCATGAGGCTTTTTTGGAAGAGAGCAGCATTGTACTTGGGATCATTTGTTTGGTTCCAATCAGCAGCTTAGTTATCAGATTGAATGCTTTGTCTCTTGCAAGAGACAAAATGTTCCACAATTTCCAGATATACTCTGGACCATTCCAAGTGCCCCAGCCCCCTGATCATATCAATGACCCTGTTGCATATGGAGAAGTATAGGTGGACTCTCCTGAAAAGGGGAGGCAGTTCTTTTTTTTTTTCTTTTTTGCTGGATCCTGAGCCAGCCTAGACCTCCTGCTTCTTCCTCAGACTTGGATTTCCTTTCATTTGAAGTCTTTAAACTTAAAAGCATTAAGTAGCTAGTGCCCTCTACAAGGTCTGCTTTTCCCCAGAGAAGGGCAGCAAGGAATGTGTACCAGAAGCCTGTCGGTATTATTATCGTAATAGGTTTCAGCAGGAGGAAGTTTTCTATATAGTGACATTTTACTTATCGTTTCCTCAATTCTTCCCTGCCTTTAACTAATAAAGAATTGGGAGATAGAAACAATTCTTTATAAAATCCTCCTTATTCAAGATTTTGAAATTCTTGACCTGGGTGGGGCTGGAGAGAACTTGATGTTTTCTCTAGAATGAAGAGTCCCAATTTGTATATCAGTGTTAAGAAAACAAAACAGACACTTAGGTAAGATTTTTGTGGACTATTTTAAAAATGTGTCATTAATATAAAAAAAAATATATTAGCAGTATTTAATCATCCTCACCTGTAAAGAACAAGAAAAAACAGAAGGTAAATATTCTTACAGAGAATAGCAGAGCTTTAAGATTCATTTTCATTTTAAGTCCATTGTTTTGCCAATGTATTAATGTTTAGAGGTCTGTTATACTAATGTTATTTATTAATTTTTTTTCATTTCCATACACAGTTAACTAAAGAGCTTTTCAAGCACCCATGTCTGTAAAAGAAGTATTTTTAAATAAAGTTTCTTTTGTTGTAGCAGACTCGAGTTCTTGCTCATTTGGGAGGTAATATATGACCAGATACTGAGGTGGGTTCTGCTGCCTTGAGGGCAGCACCCAGAATCAGATACAGCCCCTGGCCAGCAGTCTGCCAGGCCCCACATGCTGCTGAGAGATGGCGGGGCTAGCCTCTCTGGGGCAGAACTGGAACCAGAAGAAACCCTGGTCTCCACTGGCAGCTGCAAAGGGTTCTGTGTTCTTTTTGGTGCAGGTGAGAAACCCCAGGTACCTGTGGTACCCATGATGAATACAAAGCACTGCACAACTTCCAGGACAATTAAGCTTTATTTTTCTCTCTCTCAAACACATACACACACACGCACGCACACACACATAGACACACATAATTTGCAGATTTACATACAACAAAACCACATGAGCAAGCATGCATGTGACTACACACACACACACACACACACACACACACTCACACACATTCATACACCCCCCAAAGCTCTAGCCAGGCCCCTGGTTTTTTCATCCCTAAGTACCATTCTCCTATTGGGCCCTTGTAGAGTCTAGGCCCATTAGCTCAGTTTATAGAAATTTGGTGATAATATAACTATAGCCTTAATCCCCATAAAGGACAGGTCACCTCATCTCTCTCCCTCCATCTCTCATCTTTCAGTCTCACATGATCCTTTGAGGGCACTGGGAGCCATGTAAATGCAGGGGCTCAGGCTCAGATGTCTTCACAGGAATGTCACCTGGCGTCCTCCCTGCAGGACATTCTTGAGGAAATAACACCAGTTCCTGATTTGTGCCCGAAGAGAAAATGTCACAAAAGCGGCAGGCAGGAAGTTATAGCAGCGACTCTGCCACTGCTTCCGGATACTACAGCGTACTCTCCAGAGCCAGCAAAAGTGACATTCTGTGACAGTGAACAGGCACCTGGGCCTTCTCATGTCAGGGGTACAAATGAATTACCAAAGCCAGCCTGGCGGGGGTAGGCAGAAAACCAGCTCGGATGGGGGCTGGTAGAAGACAGGTATTTATAGCTATAGCATATTTAAGGAGAAAACATGTTCTACAAGAAACTTCAGTCACTTGTGGGGAACTGAGGCCTCTTCTGAACATCGCATAAGTGGAGATAGAGGTGGACTGGGCCCTAAAAGGGGGCCTCCAGGGCCAAGTGAGGTCCTTCTTGGGATGGCTCTGGCCCTAGCCCATAGCCCTCTAGAATGGATCTGTAGGTGTGCTGGAGCAGGGGTCTTCTCTGTAGTCCCTTTGGGGGCTTTGGCTGGGGAAAAGAGTGAGCAGGGAGCCAGAAACTGTCCAGGTGAGTAGAGAGCCAATGTGATTCCATGGCTAATGCCTCAGATCGATGTATTTCTCTCCCTAAAAATGGGTAGAAGAGAGGGAAACATGGAGACAGTTAGCAGAGTTCAAGGTGAGAGCACTAAGAAGGAGGAGGGAGGAATTGAAGCAGAAGCTGATGAACTTGGTGCAGCATCATGGAGGGAAGAAGCTGGGGTGGGTATGGGGAGCAAGGAAGGACAGACAGCCTCTGATTCTGCCTCTGCACTGGGGAAATGGAGGCCACACTTCACGCTTCTGTCAGGAGCCACAGGCTTTATTCAGGAAAGGTGATGGTGATGGGACCAGGGCTTTGCCCTTAGCCTTTCTACAGGGTCTCTCCGCCACTTGCCTCACCCTGCCATCTGTAAGTAGTGTTTAGTAGGCAAGATGGGCCTGCTCCCTTTCTCCAACCAAGAAGGAAGAAGGGCAGAAAGAGTTAGTGTTCGGAAACGAGCACCATTAGTCCCTGGCACCCCCAATCCCTGAAGATTTATCAGACACTGGCCATAGGAACTGCCTCCTACCTGGTCTCCTGGAGCCCTCTTGTCACCGCTGCTGCCCTGTAGGAGGCCCATCTCTTCTGGGAGTTTATCTGACTTAACTTCAACTACAAATTCACTCTTATGAGACGGGGGCAGCGTGCTGGGAGGAGGGAGGCGAGAGGTTGGCAACTTAGGGGCAAAGGGGGGGGGCTGCTAGGAAGGATGCTTGGATGGATAGATGGTGGGCTCTTTGGGGGCTCTGGGGTCAGCTCAGAAAGGAAGCAGGCAATGAAAGAAGGTGTGGGGGTGGGTGCTGGGCAGGAAAGCAGGGCATACCCAACCCAGGGTCCCACTCTTGCTTCTAAGGGGTAAGTGGGCCTTGGGGTAGATGACATGTGCCTAAGGAGGCAGCAGGCGGGGCAGCAGGAGAGGGGGAGGGTAGCAGGGGTCTGTCATGCTTACATCTCTTGTTTGCCTGACCGCCCACACAGCAGCTTGCCCTTCTTGTAGAGGAAATAGAGGATAGCGCCCAGCACAGCCAAGACCAGGATACACACGATCACAGCCACAATGACCACGCCCTTGCTCTCCTGCTCCGGCAGCTTTTTCTCTGTCACATAAAGCCACTCCTAGTCACTCCTGGCCCCAGGCTGACACATTGCCATTGCTGCCCCACCCAGCCCAGAGCAGGCAGACGATGGGCCGCCACTCACCTGTCTCAACATTGCTCCCCACTATGGGGACAGGGCAGAAAGGGTGCCCTGGCACAGCCCTGTTCTCTTGCCAGGCCCGCTTACCTGTGGAGGTGCTGTTGGCTCTGGCATGAGGACTGGCAGTGGAGGTGCTGAGGCCAGCTGTTTTGCTGGAGTCTGGTGTGAGGGTAGTTAAACTGACTGGGAGGCAGAGGGAGGGAGTTAGGAGAAGCTCACGTTAGTGCCCGTGCCTGGGCATGCCCCTGCCATCCTCTGCAGGGATGTGGCCCCTCACCCAGCTCCAGGATGATGATGGTGCTGTTTCTGCCCAGGGAGTTGGAAGCTGTGCATTCCGCGCCCCTCTCCAACAGCTCTGGGGTCACAAGGACATTGAGAGTGCTCAGCACCCTCTGTGAATCTTGGTATTCTTCACTTGCCTGTGAAGAAGGAGGCAGTTCAGTGGGTGGAAGGATCTCCGGTTATGGCTGCAAGGCCTGGGCAGGGATTAATAAGCGCGGAGGAAGAGGCCCCAGGCCTGCTTACAGTGCCATTGATGTTCCAGGAGATGGTGGGCCGAGGATGTCCTGATGCTTCACAAGACAGATTAAGCATTGTATTCTCTTTCACCCACACCTTCCTCTTCTTTGATGCCATCCATGGGGGACCTTGGGGAGGTAGGAGAGGGTGTGGCAGCAAACTCAGCAAGCTTGCCTCCCCTTCCCCACCAGAGCTCCCAGGGCAGCAGTGGCTTTCTAGCTCCAAAGAGCTCAAAACCACCTGACTTGGGGTGATCTGGTCTCTGCCCAAAGGGCCTCACCAAAAATGGCCACATTGACTAGCTGTGTGCGGTTCAGGCCAGGTACGCTGGGCACAGATGCCACACAGCGGTAGCCTCCTCCTATCTCCCGTTTCAGATGGTCAAAGTGAAGTACAGGCCCCTTTTCCAGCACTTGGCCTGTCTGGGGGAGAGGTCGTTCAGAAGGTCTCAGAAAGAATAAGCTGTTGCCCACAGCCCCAGATCCACCTGGATACCTTTTCTCTCAGCCACTGGAACTCGAGGGCCTGGTTACTCTCTGCCTTGCAAGTCAGTGTAAGGCTACTGCCTTCTTGGCCCGCAGGGGCTGCGGGACTCACGTCAACATCAGACACATCTGGGGGCACAGCAAGAGTGTCAGCCTGGGCAGGACAGGGCAGGGCCAGTTCCCTCTTGCCCCAGCTCAGCCCCCCTGTCCTGGGGGCCCCCAGCCCCTCACAGTTCACCAGCAGCTCCTGGGGTTCACTCAACAGTGGTATCGTGGTTTCTAAGTCCAGACCCTGGCATTCGTAGAGCCCGCTGTGCTGCTTCTGGGCAGGCTCCAGCACCAGGAGGCCATTGTCAGTGGATCTTTCTTCCTCCATCTCCCTGGTGCTGGGATTCTGGGAGAGGAAGAAGCAGTGAGCGGCACCGCCCAACCACTCTATCTGCATCTGCCTGCACCCACTCTGCAGCCAACACCAAGCCCTCACACCTGCTTGTGGATGCTGAAGGGAGGTGTGGGGTTGCCATCCGCCAAACATCTGATTTCCACACGATCCCCTTCCTTCAGCATTCCCGCAGGCTCCACTTCCAACCACACTTTTTCCGCTGGGTCTGTGTAGGCAAAGGGAGTTGTTCTCAGCCCAAGAGGTGCCCTGGGCTGAATGGGAACAGGTTGGCAGGAATTTCCACCAGGCCCACTTCAGTGAACAGATGGACAGGTCAGTACTCACAGAAAACGGGGACAGTGACTTCCCTAGATTCCTTCATGTGGTTCCCACTGGGCAGTCGGTAACTGAGCTCACAATAAAATTGGGCATCTTTGTCTTCCTTAACCAGCTGTACCTTCAGAACACTCTTCAAGGTGTATAAGCCACTTGACTCCACGATCTGCGAGGACTGAATGTGGACACCTGGGCAGGGAGGAAGGGGAGCAGGGTCTGGCCCCAGCCCCACCCTGTAGTTCCCACCATGTTGGCAGGGGAGCATCTAAAGACCCCTGCCAGCTGGGCATGGGTGGCACACACTGTAATCCCAGCTACTCAGGAGGCTGAGACAGGCAGGAGGAACAGCAGTTTGAGGCCAGGTTCAGCAAGTTAGCAAGACACCGTCTCAAAATAAATAAATAAATAAATAAATAGCCCTGCCTCTGTCAAGTGGCCAGGGTCAAATGCAACCTGGCAACTTTTCAATCCAGCACTTTTACTGTACAGTATCTACCCTAGAAAAACATTCACACAACAGCATATATACAAAGATGTATGCCAGTATTGCTGCAGCAACGTATATGAGGTGCCTGGGAGTGCAGTCCGTGGTAGAGCATATGCTTAGCATACACACAAGGGTCTAGCTTCACCCCAAGGGCCAAAAACAAAACAAATTACCCAAGATGATTAGAAAAATGAGACATGCTAGACTCATCAAGCAGGAACAGCAGAGTCTAAAACTCTGCAGCAGGCACAAAAAGTACATCTACACAGACTGAGCTACAAAGATTACACAAAAGAAACTGTCTAGGGCTGGGGTTGTGGCTCAGTGGTAGACTACTTGCCTAGCACGTGTGAGGCACTGGGTTCAATTCTCAGCACCACATACAAATAAATGAATAAAATAAAGGTTCATCAATGATGAAAAAAGTGTATTTAAAAATAAATAAAAGAAACTGTAGCAATGCATACCACACTTTAATAGTTCTCAGGGTTTGCCAACCTGACACTAATGATGTTTCAGGCTAAAAGTGAGTCTTTGTGGTGGGGCATCCTTTGCACCATACCAAGTGTAGCAGCATCCCACCTCTACTCACCAGATGCCAATAGCACCCCCTATACTTTTGATAACCAAAACTACCACCAGACACTGCCAAATATCCCCTGGTGGGGTGCAAAAGTCAATCCTGGTTAGAGACCACTGATTTAAATAATAAAATGCCTACATGCTTCTAGAGATATTTGTGTGTGTGAATAAATATACAGAAATGGGCCTGAAAGAACTGACAGCAGAGGTTACTTCTGATAGTAAATCAGAGGAACGTCTAACTTTTCTGTGCAATTCAAATTCTTGGAACTGGGGCTCTAACTCAGTGGTAGAGCACTTGCCTACTAGCAGGTACAACACCCTAGGTTCAACCCCAGCACAGGGGTGGCGGGGGCGCCGGTGATATCCTTTATCAAAATATTTCCAAACATCACTTGTTGCCGGGTGCACTGGCACATGCCTGTAATCCCAGCAGCTCGGGAGGCTGAGGTGGGAGGATCATGAGTTCAACTCAGTGAGACCCTGTCTCTAAAATACAAAAAAGGGCTGGGGATGTGGCTCAGTGGTTGAGTGCCCCTTAGTTCAAACCCTGGTACCAAAAAAAAAAAATCACTTGTTGATTTATTTTTTACTTTTTCCAGTTCTGGGGATTGAAACCAGGGCCACTCTATCACTGAGCTATACTCCTAGCCCTTTTTACTTAATTTTTATTTTTGAGTCAGAGTCTTCCTAAGTTGCCCAAGCTAACCTCAAATTTGTGATCCTTCTGCTTTAGCTCCTAAGTCATATTTTTTTTTCTTTTTTTAGTAAAAGCAAAATTAAGTGGTTAGTTAGTCCCTGTGTGGTACCACAGGCAAGAAGGGTACTCACGATTTTTCTCCTCCATCAGGGGCAGACGATTCTTGTACCAAATGACTTGAGGAATGGGGTACCCATTCCTCCCTATACAGGTGGCGACCTAAGAAGGAGAGGGTATGAGTCTCCCTGCCTGACCTCCCGCCAAGGCCCACCTTAGCTCCTGCTTATACTTGGTCAGCCCAGCATATCTCACCTCCTCAGGCTCCTTGCTGTTCACAGAGATGCCCAGGGCACTGGTCTGGATGGTTGGCTCCTCTGGAGCTTCTACAAGGGGAGGAAAATCAGCAGGAGCACTGGAGCCCGCTTCCCATGATCCATACTGACGTGAAGGCAGGAAGGGAGGGGCACTCACTGAAAACACGGAGCTGAATGCGGTGCTCCTGGAACCAAGGACGCTTACTCTGACACAGGAAGATGCGCTCATCATGGGGCATGACCTGAGTCAGAGCCAGAGCCCCTGGGCCCTGGAGGCTGAGGCGGTGCTGGTACTCCCCAGGCTCACTCTGACCCTGGCCCTGGCGCACACGGAAGATGAGTGTGGGCTTCTCCTTGTAGACCTGAGGGGATGGGACAGAGAGGTAAGGGTCCTGGGTCTACATGGGGGGCAGAGCTTCCCACCTCCCACTGCCCCTAGGAGCTCAGGAACTCACAGAAAACCAGTCCACATGGCTGAGGTTGCTCAGGGAGTGCGAAGGGCCACACCTCAGAAGGGCGGTGTTGCCCACTTCCACCTCCACCATCTCTGGTGTGGGCTGCTCCGCCTCTCCAGGCACACCTGGAGGGAGGAAGGGGTGTACCCCAGCAGCTGTGTCAGCTCCAGCTGCTCCCCATCCCTTCACACTACTCCCTGCAGCTGTTCTCCTGCCACTCAGGAGGGCCCGAAGAAGGCCCTGTCCATTCCTAACCCTCAACCTCACCCTGCCTGCCCCCAACTCACCCTGCCCCTCTCCTACTGCAGGGGGATCCTGGTCCTCAGAGCGCAGACTGAACATGGGGCACTTCCCAAATGAGGATGGCAGAGGGGAAGAGGGGCAACATGAATAGGCTCTGGGCCAAGAGGAAGGTTCCTTTCCTCCTAGGTCTCCTCCCCTGCTCTCTGAGTGAGCTCAGAGTGTGGGAATGCAAGGCATGTGCCAGGCTGGGGCACACAGGCCCCTTTGTGTCCCCATCCCCAGGGCAGACGTCACTATTCTACCCTCTGCCTCCCCCCCCCCCCCAAGTCTCCTCCCTAAACCCCCAAGAAGACCTAATGAGCCAATCTGGCCACACTCTGATCTCATGCTCCCTAAGCAGTATGGCAATGAACATTCCACATACACTCAGGGGATCTCGTCCTGGGAATCTGGTGAGTATGGAGGGGTCAGAGTCCCCCAGGGGTCAGAGTCCCCCAGGGGTCAGGACAAGGGTCAGGGAGTGGGCAAGAGTGACATTAGTGGCATTAGTGGTGCTCCCAATCCTGTGAGGAAGTTATGTCACTTGACACCATCTGGCCGGACCCTAGGATGCCTGCCTTGATCTGGCTCCCAGGCAGAGAGGGCCAGTGCAATGGTCCTCAACCCAGAGCAGAAGCGTCCGATTCTTGACTCTTTTTCCCCAGAGCCAGAAGAGCAGGGCAGGGTGCTGCGGGACCCACTGCAGCTATGGAGCCCTATTTAGCCCTTTCCCCAGAAATAAGGTCAGCCTAGGAGGCAGTAGACTGGAATACTCCAGGGATATGGCTGGCACTGGGCATGAGGCCAGCCAAGTGGGTAATGCCCAGTCCAACCCTTCCCCGGGCGGATAGCGGCTGGGATCAGGGTAGGAGCCAAGAGTAACACGCGATACCGCTGCGGGCCATACAAGGGCAGCATGGACCCCGGGAGGGCCCAGCTACTAGGTGGTTCCAGAGAAAAGCTCCCAGGTGCTTGGGCGCTTTTCCCACCAGAATGTAGTCCTTAAACTAAGTCCACTGGTGCTTCCACTCTAGAAATGCTCCATCCTTCGTATCTACCATCTATGCCGGTCACCGAGGAGTCGCGAGGCGACCCACACTGCCTATAGCCCGTGCCAACGCCCAGCCCGGCGGGAGCAGCCGTTCCTCCTCCTCTTGCTCACCTCCAGCCTGGCGCGAGGCCCAGGACGGAGGGGGAGGGGTCGGCGCACCCCTCCAGCTAGAAAAGCTGCCTTTTCCAGCAACAGGCGGACGCCGGATTCAGGGGTTGGGGATGCGCGCTGGTTGCGCCTCCCATCCCGGCTCCAAAAGCCGGTCCCCAGAGTGGGCACCTGCGGAAAAACTCTCCGAGAGCCTCGACTCCACCCTTTCTCTCGCGCGGCAGCAGCCTCCACCCGGTCTTCCCAGTCCTGATCCCGGATACTCTAGAATCCAGACTGCAAACTGGATGCAAAGAATAGTTGCACGCGCGCAAGGCGCCAGGGAGCCCGGCACTCGGGCACTGGGGCTCAAATCCCCGGCGCCGCCGCGCTCCGGGCTCTGCTCTCCCGCACGCTCCCCCTGAAGACCCTCGGCCCGGGCGCTGCGGGGCACGGGTCCCCCAGCCAACTCACTCACCAGTGGCGCGGCGACAGCAGCAGCAGACGACCAGCAAGAAGGCGCAGAGGAGTCCGGGTAGATCCATGCTTCCCGGCCGGAGGACGAGAGCCAAGTGAGGAGCTTGCGACTGCCGGGGGCTGACGTCAGGGGGGCGGGGGAGGGGGGCCCAAGCGCTGGCCTGCCCCGCCCCGCGCAGCCCCCTGCCCCCGCCCCCGCGCGCAGCAGCCCTAGGGGGCGGTCCCCGGTGCGCCGGCCCCTAAGCTGCGCTCCAGAGCGCGGCCCGGAGGTAGGCCGTAGCCCGCCTTCCAGCCCCCAGTTTGAGCATACCACGGGAGCAGTGACAGGTGTCTTGGGGCCGGACAGACTAACCGAGGAAGCAGCGAGGAGAAGCTGGTCCGGATGCCCAGAATGGCCCAGATCGCCACAGCGGTGTTCACCCCAGCTCAGACCTTACCAGTGTAGCCCTGGGGGACCTCCTGGCGGAGGAATAGCGGATCAGGTCCTCTGTGTCCCTTATGGGAACCTCCCATTCAGGCTCCTCTGCTCCGCCTCAGAGAAATTGGGCCAGCTTTGGACACCTCCCAGAATGATTGCTCCACTGCGCGGCTGCTGCCGGTCTGGCACTGCCCCCAGCCTGGCTGTCCTGGCAGCTTTGGGGGAAGAACCGTGCGCCAGGTTCCACAGACCCAGAGGTACCTGCAGGGGGGAGTGGAGAATGTGCCTTCTAGTCTGTCCCTTCTAGTCTGTCCTTTCAAGCCCAAACTCCCGCAAGTCCGTGTTTAACTAAAAAAGGGAGGGGGCTGAACTCAGTGACCAGAGGTGTTCATGCTTGTCCAACCCTGAGAATCCTGTTCCTACCATCTTTTCTCTTTAAACTTGACCTGGGACTCAGTTTCCTCCCACCAGAATAAGGAAAAGAGAGGGAAGATTTAAAGGATGCTGGATCCAGCTGAGCGCGGGTGATGCATACCTGCAATCCCAACTTCTAAAAGAAGCTGAGACAGGAAGATAACATGTTTAAGATCAGCCTGGGCAGTTTAGCACGACTCTGATTAAAGAATGAAAAGGGCTGGGGCTGGGGCTGGGGGTTGTGGCTCAGTGGTAGAGCACTTGCATCGCATGTGCGAGTTCGATTCTCAGCATTGCATATAAATAAATGAATACAATAAAGGTCCATCAACAACTAAAAAAAAAAGAAGAAGAAAAGGAATGAGGGAGCTGGGGATGTAGCTCAGTTGGTAGAGTGCTTGTCTTGCATGCACAAGGTCCTTGGTTCAATCCCCAGCACTTGGAAAAAAAAAATACAGTCTCCAGTTTGACCCCTAGAAATCTCTTGCTTTTCCTGATGGTTGAAAGGACCCCGCCAGCAGCGCTTTACTGCCCCCCACCCCCCCCCCCCCACCCTACTGACTTGGTTCAGCAGCTGGAGGAGGAGCACATGCAGGAGGGATCAGATCTGGTTGCAGAAAGCCCTGCCTGAGCTGGGTCAGTCATTCAGCATGGTGAGGGGAGCCCAACAGCTACCCTTTTCCCCAAACTGAGACTTCTACCTGAGTCTTCTGGCCTCCTAAGACTCCAGTACCCTGGCCTCTGGTAAGGATCCATATATTTTGGGACTTCTTCATCAGGTATGGTCAGATTGGGGCCTAGATCTGGGGTGAAAGTCTGTCTCCCACCAGGCAGTCTTTCTGCTGGCTGGGGGGGGGAGGAGCAGGGTGAGGCAGCAAATGCCAGAGATGGCCAGGTGACTTGAGAGAATGCTCTGGGTGGCGTTTTGATGACGCAGAGATGACTGGCAAACCACATCAGCCTTGTCTTTCAGAGCCTTGCTGACCCCTCCTCCCTGTCCATTAGTCTCCAGCCAGAGGCCATGCCAAGCCTGCCAGGCCAGGGGCTGGAACATGGGCAGGAGAGAGCAAGAGGAGGACCCTGGCTCTCCTGACCCCTAGACTAAATGTATGGACTCTGGCCCAGGGCCCAGAGCAGAAGGGAACAGATGAAGGTTTTTGTATGCAGGGCAGGGAGTGGGAATAGCTGAAGGTTGCTGTTTGCCCTGGCAGGCCAGGAGCTGGGCATGGACTGGCTTCCCTGCCCCCTCCCCTTCACTTAACACCATTAACTAATCATTCTCTTCTCTGGCAGCCTGAAAACACAGCCAGCTAACCACCAAGGACAGTCAGTTCTGAATTCTTCTTCCGCCCTTAGGAGACAGAAGGGGAGTGTTAGGGGGGTTGGAAGAGTCATCTCTGCAGTGAAAGAGAAATGAGATTAGAGCCCAGGGGTGACATCTCCTCCCCTGCATGGCCCCAGCAAACAAACATATGTCCTAGGAAAAGTCCATTAGGGAGTGAGTGGGAGAGGTCGAGGGACAGACAACATAGGGATGGTTCCACAAGAGGGTCACTTTGGGATTACAAACCAAAGAGGGGTCAGGACTTTGGAGAGGATTCAGAGGCCAATGGAAACAGGAAGGACAGGAACAAAGTCAGGAGTGCAGGGCAGGTGGATGGTATCACTCCCGGCTCCTCTAAGACGCCAGAGGATACAGCTTTGGCAGCAACAGAACTTCCAGGACTGAGACTCAGCACACAGGGATATGGAGGAGAAGGCAGGGGAGGAGATGGAGGAGAAAGGGGCAGAGATGGGCCTTCCACCCCAGCAGAGACTCATGCACTCAAGGAAAAACCCTTGTCAAGGGTAGATAGGTCAAGGGTAGAAGAATAGGTCTCCCTGGCTGGGGGCTGGGGGTGGGGTAGAGTCCTAATTCTTTGCCTCACTTCCCTCCAGGAAGTGGGGCTAGGACTGCAGCTTTTCTCCACCTCCATGGTAGACCTAGGCTCCTGAGATGAGGGGGCTCTCTCCGTGCAGAATGCCTTTGGGTGCCTCTCTAGTATAGGTCTGATAAATAAGGTGGAGAAACTGAAGCTGGGTGAGGGAGGTAGCCTCCTGGGCAAGTGGGACTTTCCATCCATTATAAGGAAAAGTGGGGAAGAGTAGAGTTGGAGGCAAAGAGACAAAGTCACTCCACCAGCACCTTGTGGGGAGATTGGCCCCAGAGTTCTCTCCCAGCTAACTTTTGCTTAGTGGGCACAGTGGCTTCCGAATGAATACACCTTCTGGTCCGGGAACCTTAACCAGAAGGATGTGACAAAGGCAGGCTGGGCTGAGGAAGGAAGCTGATAAAGACGAATTTGCAGCTGCCATGAGAAGGAGATGGGGGCGGAAGGGGTGGCCTAGCAATCTTGGCAACAATGGAGGTCGGGGAACCCCCTAGAAGATAGAAACTGGCCTGGGTCTTGGAGGGGATGCAGGAAACTTTCCAGATTTTTTTTTATGGGGGGGGGGGGGGGCTGGTTGGGGGGGGGTTGGGGGGGGGGGGGAAAAAAGGGGGGGGGGGGGGGGGGGGACAGTAGCTGCCTAAGACATCTTTGGGCCTGCAAACCGGATACTGGGGGTGGGCTGGTGGAAGATGTGGGGGAAGAGATTGAATGGGGGGAAGCCGCCCCGCTCCCTCCGGACATTCATGTCCTTCGCACCTGACCTAGGGCAGGAGGAAGGAGGTGCAGTCTGGATGGAGGTGCACCCCAGCAGCACTGGTGGCTTTCTGGGGGGACGGGAGGGGTTATTTTTAAACTTGGAAAAACCGTGAGTTCATCTCCACCCTGGAGGCGGCAAAGGCCCCATTGTGTAGGGGTCCAGAGAAGGGGGAGGCTGAAGCGGGGGAGTGGCACAAAGGCGAGGATTATGTTGGAGCAGGCTAGGGGAGCACAGGGTGGGGGAGGGGCATCGTCGTCACAGCTGGCCTACTGAACTCTGGGGTCGGGCCAGGCTGGAGCTTGGGCTTAGACCAGTGGGGAGGCGAATTCCACCCTCACAAAGCCCCTGTTGGGGAGTTGGGGTCTCCCACATCCGACATCCGGTGGTTCATCCTGGGGAAGGGGCTGATGGTGGGATTCCCACTGCCTGGCTTTCCCAGGGACTGCAGGGTCTGTTCTCAGGCTCCCGGCATTCCGGGGACTCCCCTGGGAGCTACTGGCCTCTCAGTCCCTTCACTGCCGGGTGGGGGCAGGAAAAAGAGGATGTGGATGCAACATCTTCCTGGGGACTAGGAACCCTTAAGCCAGACAGTAGTGGGTGGGTCGGGCATTTGAAGCGGTCCCAGCCCTCCCATCCCAGCCCCCTGATCTGCTGGACCCTTAGACCAAGGCTGGCCAGCATGTCCCCTCAGATCCCAGGGCTTTCTCCGCCTAGGACAGCCCACCTGCTCGACCGCAGCCCCCAGCACCCAGGACCTCCTCCCGGGGATCCAGCCCTGGCTGGAGGGCGCCGGTATAGGCTCCTCTGCGCGCCCCAGGAGCCCTACTCCGGAGGTCCAGCCGGCGGCGCCTGGGGGCGGGGCATCCGGCCTCGCACCAACCCAAACATTACCATAAATGCTCAGGCTGCAGCCTCGGGCCGCGCCGTGCCTGGCGGGGTTGGGGGGGCGGCCTGGGAGCCCTCCTGGAGCCCTTTATCCGGTCCTTTGGCCCATCCCTGTGCGGCCGTCAGAGGTGATTCAATCTGTCCTGTCACCCCCTCTCCAAAGTGGGGTGGGTGCGGGGGAGGCCGGGAGAGAACTATCTGGATGGGCAGTGGGCTGTGATCCCAGGACAGAGTCTCCAGGCAGGATTTCAGCATCCGCGCAGAGTTGAGGGCTCTGCGGGACCCACTCCTATCAGGAGTGATTTCTTGGGTCTCAGTACTCTGACCTCTGAACTCTAGATCCCCTCTTATTTCCCGGTGCCCGACCTAAACTTGGAGAGTGAGGAATGATGGGGGCGGGCCAGGATGCTGGGAGTTTACACCTCTCCCCTTCTGGGAAGTTCACATCCGGTCCCCAAAATACCACCACGCAGGGAGAGGAATGTCCCCAGAGGGCTGTTTAAGTTTGACTTTGAGTTGTCCCTGAGAAAAGGCCAGCTGATGTACAGTTGGGGAGGCTGTGGGAAACCTGGGAGTGCCATATTCTGGGTCCCCTGGTCCTATCCTCTCTGAAGAATACTTGTGCATTTCTTTTGACCTTAGCTTTAAGCCAGGAGATCGCATTGGAGGAGGGGGGTCTGGAAGCCCCCACTGTAG